ATTTTTACGCAAACTGGATCTACATACGGAGTATAGATCTTATATTCACGTCATCAAACCTGTCTAATTTACCCTATTCCTAAAATCGGCTCAATCTGTAAACGTCTTAAACTTAAACCACTAAGATCCACGGATTCACTCCCAAGTATCTTGCTGACTCTGCTTGCGTCGCCGATCATTTTTAAAAAACCTTCCTAGAATTGTATTCCCTGAACCATTAGTGGGCCTTGGATGTGCGGCGCAGCTGAGGTCCTTGATCTCAGCCCGACGAAAAGGCCGAATAAATAATAATCTTGGAGGTAATTGGATCATCCACCTCGTCGGTCTGAAGTAAGGCTCCACTATGGTATAGTATAGACAAAAATACTAGTAATCTGTCGGTCAACCCTGTGATGCGAAATACCCGGGCCGTAACCCTACTTGCGGTGTGTTAATTGGGAAGGTTTGATGCCCTAGGAAATAGAAATCCAACCCCTGGTGTCGGGATTTACTGTGATACATACTGTTGATTCAATTCATCAACTTTCATGCGAACCCTGCAAGCCTGAGCATAACAATGTCTAGATTGATTCTGGCTGTGGTTATTTCCGCGCCCCTATGGGTAAGATCCTCCGGATAATTTCGAAAGCAAAATCCCTTGTTTTGACCCAAATATCTCCAGGGAATTGCAATCATCGTCTACCGCCTCTTTTTTCACCCGCTGGCAAAGTACCCTGGTCCTCGTTTGGGAGCTATAACCAATTGGTACCCTGCCTTTTTTGCCTGGAGAGGAGATCTCCATATCCAATATTATAAATGGCATCAGAAATATGGTCAGATACGATTTCGCTTCTTAGATTGTGTCCTAGGCTCTGACTGTCCGCACAGGAGACATTGTACGATTTGGACCAAACAGTCTTGTTTTTAATACACACTCCGGGATGAACGCGATCTACAGCACTCGAGCCAATGTCCGCAAGCCGGAGAATTATGCCGCCATGAGCGCTAGTCGAAGAACTCCCAACACCATCTCTGCCACCGATAAAACTGTCCATGGCTTCAAACGTCGCATCATGTCCCAGATCTTCTCCGATCAAGGCCTGAGGGTTGTTGAAGACCGCTTCATACCAAGAATAGATGACTTTATCTCGCTACTCTGGGATAGCACTGAGAATGGTCGGAATGGTACCAAAGGCGAGGAGGAATGGGGAAACCCGAAGGAAATGGCATCAATCTGCAGCTGGTTGGCATTTGACATCATCAGTGACCTTAGCTTTGGCGAGCATTTCAACATGTTGAAGTCTCCTGAGCTGCGATGGTTCCCTTCTGTCATACAGAAGCTTTCTCAAAGAGTCGCTATTGTACGTTATTCCATACAACGGATGGTGTAGGCTTCTCTAACCTGCTTTCTTTAGGGCATTATGCAACCCAATTTTACTAATCTTAAAATAGATCGACTATTCATGGCGTCACAGCTCAGAGATATCCTGAATGCGGGGACATGGATTCGCAAGCGCTCGGAGTTACGGGCCTGCCTTGGTAACGACATCAAACAGAAGGATCTCATTTACAATATGATGAATGCCACTGATCCAAAGACTGGTTTAAGCTTTACCCAGAAGGATCTTTGGCTGGAGTCCATCATGCTGCTCACTGCCGGTATGAATCTCTTCTCTCAGGGGTGAAGCCTATTAGAAGATCTGGATTGACATACTTGACTGTGAGATTTTAGGTTCGGATACGACCTCCGCTGCATTGAGCGGTGCATTCTTTCTCCTGGCCCACCACCCAGCCGCACTTTCACGTTTAGCAAAGGAGCTCCGCATGACCTTCTGCAACGAAAGTGAGATCCGCATGGGCCAGCAACTCAACTCGTGCAAATTCCTCCAGGCATGTATCAACGAGTCATTACGTCTGTTACCATCCGTTCCAAATTCCGCTCCACGCATAGTCCAAGAAGGTGGGATTCAAATCGACCAGGAATTTATCCCCGCCGGAATCACAGTCGGCACATGCATCTACACACTTCATCGGAACCCAAGACACTTCTCCAATCCTGAAGAGTTTCGCCCGGAGCGATGGCTCGTCCGTTCAAGGGGGCAAAATGCGGAAGGGGAGAGTATAAGTACCAACAGGGAAGGATTTTGCCCTTTCAGTCATGGACCTCGGTCTTGTGTTGCGTGGAGACTCGCGTGGGCGGAGATGAACATCACCATTGCACGGACACTTTTCCGATATGATATAAGGCTAGCGCCTGGGCTTTCGTGCTGCGGGGGCGCACGCAATGATTGTCAATACTTGTTGAAGGGATTTATCACTGCCGCGGTCGAAGGTCCATGGGTACAATTCCGTCCTGCCAGAAGCTAAGTAACAATAAGTGGAAACATCACGCGAGCGTATGTGGTGTTGGATTTATTACCAGAAACACATCACATTCAGTTTGATAAGGGCTGTTCGTACGTGAATGCTTGAGAAAATAGTCTCACCGGGACACCAGCAGTTTTGGCAATGTCCCTCATCTCGTGCTTGAGACCCACGGCCTTGATAGAAGAATAAGGGCCAACGAAGGGGATTCCAGCAGCGGCAGGAAATTTGATATTTTCGCTTAGAAAGCCATAGCTGGAGATAAAGGGGTCTACACCAAATTCTTTGCAGATAAACAATATAGACTGGCTATGCAATGGTCTGTTTAGCGTAATATACAACTTGAAGTGAATATTTGCTATTACAAGGAGAAGTACACCTGGGCATAGTGAATTTGTAGTTCTTGCCAGGAACTAATTCGTAAATTATTCACTAGTATCCAGATAACTACCAGTTCCCGAGAGTACTAGTAATTGGAAATAGAACTAACTACTGGAATTGATTGCTGTTAACGCTTTGTTGCCTCAAGCAGTCGTTCAGGGTCCAATGCAGACCACCAACTCTCACCGGATCGACTTCTTCTTCCATCCACTGGGTCTTATCTCATACTCTTCCCACTTTGTTCAGTCCAAAATTGCTAATGATTCACATCCATGAGAATAGCCTTCACTGTAAGGTAATCCTCAATGCCTTGAGTACCCCCTTCTCGCCCGTATCCACTATCCTTGACACCTCCAAACGGACTCTCACAAGCACTTAACATGCCTACATTCACTCCAACCATGCCGACTTCCAGGGCTTCTGCTACTCGAACGCATCTCGACATGTTCTCAGTCATTATGAAACTGCCCAGTCCCACATTACTGTTGTTTGCCAGTGCGATAACCTCCTCTTCCGTCTCGAATGGGTACATCCCCAGCACAGGAGCAAAGACCTCCTCCCGGGTAGTGATCATCTCCGGGTTCATATCTCGAATAAGCGTCGGCTGCATAAAATAGCCCTTTGACCCTGGAACCGACGCACCGCCCAGTATCACTTTCCCGCCGAGGCGCTTTGCGTCCTCAATATGCTGTGTGGCCTTCTCTACCGCTCGCTCGTGCGTAAGCGGACCAATCGTCGCGCCGTCCTGGACTCCCGGTCCAACTTGCAGCGACTGCATGCGCTTGAGCATGGCGTCCGAGAAGGCATTGTAGATCCCCTTTTGAACGAATATGCGGTTTGCTGTCACGCAGGTTTGACCAGAGTTGCGGAATTTCGCCATCATAAGGGCCTCGACGGCGTGATCAATAGAGGCGTCGTCGAAGACAATAAACGGGCTGTTCCCGCCCAGTTCAAGCGAGAGTTTCTTCAGTGTTGGACCGCACTGTTGAGCAAGCAGCTTTCCAACACGCGTGCTGCCAGTGAAGCTGAGCTTTCGTACGATGTTGTTGTCGCAGATTGCTTGCCCGACCTCAGCGACCTTGTTGAGGGTCAACACTACGTTGATAGAGCCGTTCGGCAGGCCAGCCTCTTGTGCAAGCAGCGCGAGAGCAAGACTGGTCAGTGGAGTTTCTCCTGCGGGTTTCCAAACAGTTGTACATCCCGCGGCGAGGGCAGCACCGGCCTTGCGTGTGATCATGGCAATTGGGAAGTTCCATGGCGTCAGCAGCGCCGCAACCCCGATGGGTTGCTTTATTGTGAGAATGCGATGGTTGGGATTCGCAGCAGGCACCGTCTCACCATGGGTGCGCTCGGCCTCAGCTGCAAACCATTCGAGAAAGGATGCGCCGTAAATTACCTCGCCACGGGCCTCCGGTAGGGGCTTGCCATTTTCCAGAGTTAGAATTAGTGATAGATCGTCAATATTCTCAAGGATAAGGTCGTTCCACCGGCGCAGCCAGCGTGCGCGTTGCCGAGCGGTTGTTTTGCGAAATGAAGCAAATGCTTTATTTGCTGCCTCGATCGCGTTTTCTGTATCGGCAGCGTTCATTTCAGGCAGTATCGCGAGTTTCTCTAGCGAAGCTGGGTTCAGCACGTCAAATGTCTCGCTACCTGGCGTGCTGGTCCATTTTCCATCGACGAAGCCCTTGGTTTGGAGAAGATCCGGGCGACGGAGGTCAGCAAGTGTTTTGGCCATCGTGACTTAGTAGGCGTAAGTGCTAACGAGGCGAATATGGGTGGATGGGGAGCTTGGGAGATAACCGAGGGTTTTGTAGCACTGGGATAGCAGAAGGGAAGTACATATGGAAGCTACTCGCATTTTGGTGAGGGGTTAAAGAATTGATTCGGCTCTTCACCTGAACCGCGAATCTGATCTGACTGTCTGCGGTAACTGCAGCCATCTTTCTAAGGACCTAACATTGGGCAGGGCTTCACCTATGCAAAATTACCGATTGGTGGATACCGCGGGGTTGGATAGAGTAGAAAATGGTCAATGGCATATAGCCTATTCGGGTATACCAATCTTGAATTCATGTGGACCAAGAATTTGTGTATGTTCTTACTCAAGGAATTAACTACATGTTTTCTGGTCTTCATTGTACTTGCCTCACACTTAATATCACATTGAGAAAATACCTTACACTGAACTCAAAGTAGTGTCTTAAACAATCTCCTCGGATCTCAGCGTTTGAGGTAACATACAGGGCCCACTATATCAGCATTGGAGATAATAAAATTCAAAGCTTGACACTGTCAAATCCGTTCAATGGAGTCGGCATGTTTAAGATCATCTGTGCGTCCTTGAGGACGTCCATTCGTAAAATGGTCCCAATTTCCAATTCGTTGAGGAGCTTGCTTAGCGGACCTTCACCCCTATAAAGGCTCACATTCCTTGGCAAAAGAGATTGTGCTGCCAGGAGAGGGTTTGTCTGAACTTTCACTTGATGCCATTTTCCGTCGATTTTGTTGATGGCGTTGTTGGTCCCAATTGACGATTGCGATGTAATAGTCTTCATAGCTGGAAGGGGTAATTCCAGTGTCAAATCCGCTGTCCCATCGGCCCCAATGATGCTGGCCTTGATGATCTCGTCTTCCATTTCAAGACTAATATCGGCGAGCCATTTAGGCAATTGGTATCCATATACACCTCGTACTCGAGCAATCTCAGTATCGACTGGTAGAGCCAGCACGTATCCGTAGAATGTCCGGTTCCACATAGAGCTGAGCAGCTGGGTGGTGCTGTAACTCACTTCACCCGGCTGACGGACAATTATGGCGACAGAGACTTCATTATAAGGATCATTATCGCAGACCTTGTACGAGTAAAAGGTCAACGCGACCAAACCGTAACCGGGTAACGCAGTGATGGGTTCCAAAGGCGATGGAAGTTTACCCTTGAGCTGGCCAAGGGGGGCAAGAAAGACGAGCTGGACACTGCTAGTGCGATAATAGAAGTTGGGCGCGTATATCTGACCAACTCTCGAATCGACCAGCTTCTTTGACGTCCTCGAGAAAAAGCTCAGGTCGGCGCCGACCGCTGGATCGAGGGCTACATTGTCGAGGTTCGGGTTCATACGGTAGCGATCGTAGTAACCGCCTTTTGGGACATCAACCTTTTGGCCTCCGAACGTGACTTGAATGGTCGGTACCTTTGAGGGTCTATATACACATTAGAGGGTCAGTGAGAAAGTCACACTAGTAAGGAGGGGGGGGGGGGATGAAAAGAGCCACATACGGTGGGCAGGCCCTCGATGATACCAAGCGGCCTATTGCCGAAGACATAATGTTGGTCGTATGTTAAGGACAATTAACAAGTCTAACTGGGACTGAGCTCTATGGATATTGTCCACAGCTGTGATTCCGACGCCCCTTCAATCCTTGTAGTATAATTTTTGATAATATTGTGGCTGGACGTGCGGTGAAGGCTTCAAGAAGATGCCAAGGACAACTCAATCAGAAGGTTAAACCAACTGGTTAGCATAGCTCTTTTGCGGGAATTCTGGTTAGCATGAGGCTAGTATAATCGGTTCAATACCTCTATTTGTAGCACACCATAGAAATGGGATTCGGGCCAATCAACAACCCGATTCGATGTACTATCGGAATGATTATTCACCTGCAAACTATTCCATTCTTTAGCAGCGATAACTTTATGCGGAGGATCAGATTCTTCCTATTATAAAATCGAAATGCTTTAAATGAAATTTTTGGAAGTTGGCCCCGGTATGGGAACATTCCGATTGATATAAAGATGGCATCTTTTACGAAATGGCGTGAAACGGATTTATCAGGCCCCATATATTCTACTCTTTCTCGTGCCTCTTGAGAAGCTTGCGACCTTTTTCGAAATTGGCAATTTTCATCTATACCCGTCGGCGTAATTGCTGCTCCGTGGTTCTTTAGACCCACTGTTGTATCGCCGTGCCTCGGCTCCTTACTGGTCTTGTGTCAACTCAGACAAAATTATCATGGGACTTTCTACGGTTAGTATCATCCAGTTCGCGTTTTGAGATATTATGGTCTTCTCAAATAGATAGGAGAGTTTGTGGGTATTTAAGTTTTTTCATGTCCCATTGCAGCTTGAGATCAACCACGCATTGTCTTCTACATAGAAGAGAGAATGGCTATGCGTCGTCGCAACTGTACCGAAGAGTCGAAGCTATTAAATCAAAGACCGACTACTGAGCCAGTTGTCGCTATAGAGCGTCGCAACATTTAGAACCGCTAAGATGACAATACGAGAAACCGAGAAAATATGTTAAGCAATCCCTCCGAGGAGTCAATGTCTTTACTTAATGCAAATCAAACAAGGGCTATAGGCTTCTAATGCAGCAGGAAAATGCACGTCCGTGCAATTTCTTTGTCTGGTGATAGAGTGTTGATATCCAAATAGGCGCTCAGCTAGGGTTTTTCGAGAATGAAGTACGGAAGTTTCCAGTTGATAAAAGATCGATCCGTGATTATTTTGTAAGAACTCGGTAAAACCTTCCCTTTTCTGAGAACCTACTTCATGAAATGAGGCTTGAAATTTCGAGTAAGATTTCTTCAATGAATCAAACGAAGAAGGTATTATTCCACGGTGTCGCCATGTTTCTTTCTTTGGATGAAAGAGTTCTTTCACCTCGACTCCTCGAAGTATCTTTCTTTGGAGTAAAAGAAAATCTCGAGTATAAAGCGAACAATTATGGGACGGATTCTAATAATCTCCTAACTTCTGGATACAGTTAGTAACGCTTTTATTCCTGACGTGAAGGATCATATACTAGTGTCATCAAATATGCCGCCACATACCTGGCCCGCCCGCCCTGATGACCAAACACGCCACCCTCGCTTCGATGATAGATGGATCCGAGGACTGGAGAACATGACAGACGCGAATCTGGAGCATGCCCTGCTAATGAAACTTGGGATCGCAACGAGAAACAACGAGGAGGGAGATCTCTGGCATTATCATTTCTGCGGTTTCCGTCAAAATCTGCTACCGAGATACCAGCGTCGATTTGCAGCCGTCACACGCCGAGTAGCGGCTTGGATGAATCTCCCTACCACACAAGCGTTAATCAGACCGAAGCTCGAGATTTTCTGTGCCTTGCCACCAGGAGCTGCGCTGGTTGCAGGAAACTGGGATGGTCCCGTGGGTAGAGAACCGGATGCCACCACCGGTGCAATTCTTGACTCGTGTTATGATTGTCTTCAATGTATGCAGGACTATGGACTTTTACCAGGCGGGGTAACAGGAGAATTGGAATATAATGATGTTGGATTTGCGTTGATTTCCGTCGCTCTTTGTCAAATGGGAAGAACTAAAGCGACTGACGAGACGGAACTCCCCGATGCTCAAAGTGTAGTCGACTTTTTCGCTCGTCGTGTTACTGCCCCTGGCGTCCTTCCATTTGTACCCTATACCCTTGGCGGTGGTGCTGGTATCAGTTCGATATTTCAGCTCGCGCTTGACCAGGAGTCTTGGGCACCAGCAATAGAGTCACTTGCGAATTGGCATCAAAGAACAGCCACGGCGAGACCATGCCCAGTGGTTTTTACTGAGCTAGGTTTTCGCGCCCGCTGGCAACTTTGTAAAGTTGCAAATCTTCGAGTTCTCCAATGGGCTCGGCGACATGCTGTTGAGATCTCCTTTGGCGAGAATCCTCCAACCGTACCTGCAATGAGACATACGGTTGAAACATGCTGGCAGGCTGTAGCTCACAACCCTGAAGGGCATTTGATCCTGGATGAACTGCTAAAGACATCTCCGGTTCAGCCCAATCATATATGCGGTACGACAGGGCGAAATGGGATTTCCGAGGCAATCTTGTGTGGACGACCGAATATAGTCCAATGGTTCCTAGACCAGGATCGTTCAAATTACGAACAGAATATTTCCGAGCGCGTTGTTGCATTCCAGCCGGTTTGCCTAACGAATTCCCATGTTCGATAGATTATGCAGTACAACAATGGGACGCCACATCAGCGGCTTCTCTGTATATGATGATGAAGTATGAACCTACTCTGGAAATTATGGCGGGTGGACCAGATGGGATTGCAGGGGCTAAAGCAGGTATTGCCAGGCTAGCACTAGTTGAATTGGATGGACCGGTGGATGAATACAGAGCCGATGCGGCAGCTGGTGTTATGTCTTTCGCTGAACGCGACCGGAACATCGCAAGGGTCAGGGAAATCGCATTGATGAAGTGGCTTGCGGCGCTTGATGGGGTAGGACCTAGGTGGAAGACCACAGCACATGGGATCGCAATGAGGACGGCAATGACGGGAGCAGACTACCATTTTATCACGAGGCAACTCGATGTCGACTATCCCCATTTTCCGGTGACGCGGGCACGCGGGCACGCGGGCTTCGTTCGTGAGGGGGGGCAGTAATCGGGGTACACTACTCATTCGTGTCTGTCTTTTAGTTATATTTATTTGGTGTATTTATTTAGTAACCTTGGGATTCGCGCTGTTTGCTTTCATTTCTATCCAGTCATTGCGGCGCTCCATGCGGCAATCGGCTCAGTAGGTCTGCAATTTGGACTAAGAGTCCCAGAAATGGATTATAATACTTGAATACTGCAATAATGGTCTTAAGTATTTAGTCTTATTCTATAGATCAGAGTAATTCGAGTCTAAATTAGGTCCCCAGATGGGCATCTATAACAGAAAATGCAGAGTCATGACGGGGATAACGGGAAGCCCAACGCCAATTCCATGCGTAACGTGTTTCAACACGATAAGAAGTGAGAAGACAAGAAAAAGAAATAGTCAAACTTCATCAGACATAATCATCAAGAAATGAATTCAAAGGCTTTTGAATAGATTCAAGCCTGAACATCAATCCACTCTCACTCGGCAATAGTCGCAGGCTGTTTATAATCCGAGAAAGTCTCCGGCCAAAGAAACATCTTCTCCTCCTGCGAAGGCGTAGCAGCAGCCATAAGCGTAGGAACAGCCTCCTTACTCGAAATACGTCGCCACATATTGGCGCGAGGGTTATACCTGACGGGTTTACCCACACCACCAGTCTTCTTCTGGTCCTCCTTGGAAATAGCCTCGATCTCGCGCTTGATGTCGGAGAAGGTATCGAATGGGGTGAAGGGGATATTGTGTTCTCGGCAATGTTCCTCGAGGCGGAGACCGCGCCGCGCGAAGAGAACGTCTGCTTCGCGGGCAGCGGCGAGGTCGGAGACGCCGTCGCCGATGAAGACAATAAGTGGCATTTCGTCTGGTTCGCATTCGGCTTGGGCCAATTTGCGGCCTTCGATTATGGAGACGTCCTTGTCGTGGCCTTGGATTGAGTCGTGGCGCCAGATTGGTGTCCAGGCTTGGCCGTCTTTTGAGATTGTTGCGTCGTTGGCGACGATTTCAATTCCCGAGGACTAGATTAAGATCTATATTAGTAAATTGATTTTCACCGGGAGGGAGGTTAAGACGTACCTCTTGTTCGCCGAGGGTCATATCCAAAACTCGACGTAAAATCGGTTTCAGGCCGGCACTAATTACGTTGAACGGAAAGCCATTGGCCTGGCAGTATTGGTAAAATTCCTTGAAGCCGGGGTCCAATTCGATACTCTTCTCCATGAGCACGAAGCCGTCGTCAAAGGGGACGTGAAGAGATGCCCACATCTCTTCCGAGGCGTCGCGGAAGGTCCTGGCTCCGGATTTCATCTGCGCCTCGAGTCTTTCTCTGGCTTCTGCTCCGAAGCCGTGCGCATCGACGAGGATATGGCCCGTATCTTGCATGCAGATTGTGCCATCGAAATCTGTTACGCGAGTTAGCTTTTCATGGTAATCTATCAAAGGTCTCGGTTGTGGGCTTGGAATATAGGGCCCGAGGGTTTAGGGGACAGGGACAGTGCTGCTGAGTTGAAAGGCGTGAATCATGACATGGAACAAGAATGCGTACCAGAAAAGATGACAATCTTTCGTTTTTGAGGAGTAGGTTGCGTAGGTTTCATGTTGGAGTTGGTCATTGTGAAGATTACAAGGGGGTGGTGTAGATGCGAATGCAGATAGATGCTAGAGAGGATAGAAAATAACGAAATTGATTTAAAACAGGATATAGGAGGACTCTTCTACTGAAAGGCCGCAGACCCCGTGGCGAACCAGAACAAGATAGAACAACTGTATGACGTAGGAGAGATACGATAATATCATAGTGGGTCGACGAGAGTGGAGAGACGACGAACACAATCGCAACGTGCTGAGTCCAGTTGGTCGCTGGTCTCGGAGGGTCGGTCGGTGCCACTGCCGAGTATGTGCGATATGATTGGTTCATCCTTCAGGGCCGGCCGAAAAAAATGGGGATCAAGGGTTTCCGATGCCGAGGCCTGGTCGGCATTGGCTGGGTTGACATCCGGAGTGGAGAATGCGATTACGGTTCACTGAAAGTGTCGACAGGTACAGAGCACATCTCAAGTTCACAGTTCATTTGCGCTAAAATACGAGTACACATGGAGAAAGAATCCGTTCATCGACTTAAGTCGCAGTTAGTTCGGCCACCCGACGCTGGAGTTCAGGTACGGCCCGAAGTTGCAGTTCCAATTCATCCTTCTCACTATGGGAGAACATTGATGTCAGCACAATTCCAAAAGTTCAAGTTGTGATTAAGGGATGGGGTATGACATACTCTTCAAGTTCCAATCGTCGTTCCCAGTCCAGTCCTGTGAATATATAACTACCCTGGCCGTCAAATTGCAGAATTTTCTGGTGGTATTTCCAAAGACTGCGTCGGTGCGAAACAGTCATCAAGGTGATGCCGAGCTTCTTCGCCGTTTCGTACATTACTTTCTCTATCTCCAGAGTCACGGATGAGGTGCACTCGTCCAGAATGGCGAACTTGGGGCGATGATAAAACAGACGGGCCATGGCAATGCGCTGTTGCAGACCACCCGACAAAACATCGCGCCACTCCTCCTCCGCGTCCCAGCCGCCAGGACGGTCAACAACAGAGGCGATCTCTACAACGGACAGAACCTCGTAGAGATCGGCATCAGTCACACCCTTGGCACGCATCTCGCGCACACCATCAGGGTAAGTGACTTGCTGTCGAAGTGTACCGCGGGAGAGGTAGGGACGCTGCGGAATGTAGAAAATGTCTTCAAAGCGAGGCTTCTTGACTGAACCTCCGTACACTGGCCAAAGACCGCCCAGGATGCGGAAAAGAGATGACTTGCCGCATCCATTAGGTCCGACAATCAGAAGATGGTCGCCAGGGTTTACGGTAAACGACAGCTTGCGAACAAGGACATCACCATTTGGTGAGACGATGGGTACATCTGTGAACTCGATGAAGTCACTCTCCATGACTTCGCCACGGCCCGAGAGAACGGCCGCATTCTCTTCAGTGGAGGCCGATGATACCAGCTTTTTCTCGAAGCGTCCGGCAACCAGGTCATCCATGACCTCAAGTAGGGACGACACGCGAGAGGTAAAGCCGGCAAGCTCGGAGATCTCCTTATAGGAAAACATCAAACGGCCAAATGCATCGGATGAAGATAACAACATTCGGCGGTTAGTGACGAAACTCTCGGTGCGATCACCCATGGTCTGGGTGACTTGACCAGGAATCTTAAAGAAGACGGGCAAGCTGCAAAGAACCAAACCCAGAGCACCCCAGAAATATTTGATAACAAAGTCCTCCATGAAACCATGATATAGTCGCCGCCGTAAGATACGGTTCACATGTTTGATGAGAGTGAAGTAGCCCTTGTCTAGGGTATCCTTCTCAGCCTCGTGGCCATGGTAAAGAGCCACCTCCTCGCTGTAGTCGATGAGCCTCGAGTGTAGGAAGCGGAATTCACCCTCCAGTCGAGCCTCATCCGCAACATACTTGCCAAAGGGTGGTGTTAGCATGCGCATGACATTGGCTGAAAGTTGTACCAGCAGACTCATAATGAACAACCCTTCTCCACCGACATTCTTTGACAAAGAGTAGTTGTAGATGCACATATCGAGGATCGGCTTGGCCAGGTTGGAGTAGAGCTCGGCCAGGCTGTCGGAGAAACGCGACACATCCACCGTCACGAGCTGATCGGGATTCTTAATCCGGTCGTCCAGGGCGGAGATGGCGTAGAAAGTCATATTTGATAGGTATTTGTCGTGTATGTAATCGGTTAAACGTTTTCGATAGCTGAGCGCAAGTTTACATTGGTGGTAGGAGAGCTAAAGGCGTTGGCAAGTTAGCAAGCAGCTTCTCCGCGGTCGCAAAGCCGCACACCACTCCAACCGGGCGATGCCGACACCAAGAATCTTACCATGGAGTTTGTGAATGTTGCCGGCACTGCGACAATCATCCACCAGAAAAGACCCAACAAAAAGTCCTTGCCCTTGCCCCGCACCAGGTTGCTCACGAGACGGCCATCTAGCTCGGCAACATACAGACTGAGCAACGTCCGCAGAACGAGGAAGACGCTGTGGCTCACAAGGAGGCGGAACTCTTTACTGCGCCATCCAGGAATCACGATCTTCAGTAGACGAAGCAAGTGTTTAAAGAACTCTCGATTGATCTCCACCCGCTTCTTCCGCGGTTGTTCATCGTCGTCGAGGCTGCTGGTGCCAGGTTGCTTTCTTCGTAGCTCTACCTGTTGTGAAGCAGCTTTCTGCTCGGAGATGGCATTATGGATGCGTTTGGCGAGTGCGGCAAAGAGGGCGAGGTAGACGCCGCGCGAGATGCGAGTTCGGTGTCGGAGATAAAGGGAGGTGATGCTGGAGAGAATCTGCTTGACGGAGCGGTCGGGCGGCAGTAGCTTAGATTGAGCCGCCATGGCGATATGATCGAATGCGACTGATCAGCCGGAGTCGCGGATGGACATGACCGGATCTGGTAGAAGTGTGGAAGATGAGTGAGAGGTGAAAAGAGAAGAGGAAAGGAGAGGAGAGGAGTTGGTTGTCCGAGTGGATGACGGAGTTGGCATGTGAAACCCCCAGGAAACTGGGGAAGTTCAACCGAGGATCTCCACTCCACTCTACACCTGGGCACAGTATACTAGTATGTCAGGATTGCTTTACAGTACTGCCTTGGGTATAGTGTGAGACCCTATCTTTCATTTTAGCTATTTAATTAGAGGCTCCTTGGAGGTTGGTTATACTGCTAGTATTATTGTCTATTGGAAGTCTACGGGCACAGACGACCATTGTTAACAACACTGGGGCCAGGTAGAATGGAGATTGAAAAGATCAAATTATGCTATCGAACGCAATGCAAATTATAAAATCACTAATCACTAATCACATGAGTTCACACTGGCGACACCCGGTGGACTCGGGGCATGGGCTCAGGCAGAGTCAACAAACTCAATCCTTGACAGCGAGCGGCTCAACGTTCCAGATACTATCCGCGTATTCGTTGATAACCCGATCAGTTGAGAAGAATCCCATGCGAGCAACGCTAGTGATTGACTTGGCCAGCCACTCCTCCTTGTTCAAGAAAGCCTCGTCAACCATTTCGTGGGTCGTGACATAGGAGTGGAAGTCGTCGGAGACTAGGTAGTAGTCGCCATGTTCCTCAATAGAAGCAGTGAGTGCGGAGAAATCACCGGCGTCGCCAAACATGTTATCCTTGATTGCTTTGAAGACCTTTTCCAGGGCTGGGTCGAGTTGGAAGTCGCCGTAGAAGTGACGGTGGCGGAGATCTTCGACGTCCTCTGCGAGATTGCCGAAGAGGAAGATATTCTGATCGCCGATCTCGCGAGTAATTTCGATCTGTAGGAGAATTTGAATTAGTTATCTCGGGCTTTATCGTAGAGGAGAGGGGAATATTCACGTTTGCGCCATCGCATGTTCCAATGATCAAACCACCGTTCAACACAAACTTCATGTTGCTTGTTCCACTTCCTTCAGTACCAGCAGTAGAAATGTGCTCGCTGATGTCTGAGGCTGGGCAAATGATTTCGGCCTTGCTGACATTGTAATCTTCAATGAAGATGACCTTGAGGAGGTCGCCAACATCAGAATCATTGTTGACCACAGCTGCCACTTTGTTTATGAGATGAATGATAGTCTTGGCCATCCAGTATCCCGGGGCTGCTTTACCGCCGAAGACTGAGACTCGAGGAACCACCTTCTTGCGCTCCTCGGCGGACATTCCCTTGATCTTCAGGTAGCGGTGAATCACACCAAAGATGTTGAGTTGCTGTCGCTTGTACTCGTGGATACGTTTGACCTGGATGTCGAACAGAGACTCTGGGTTCACCTTATATCCAGTTGTATCCTTAATGAGTTTAGCCAAGCGGAGCTTGTTGTCAGACTTGATATGTGCCCACTGGCGCCTAAAGTCTTTGTCGTCCACGAATGCCTCCAGCTTATCCAGAAGGGTCAGATCAGTCAAGAACTCGTGGCCGCCAAGCTTCTCTGCAATCAGGCTGGAGAGGGCTGGGTTCGCCTGGTGCAGCCAACGTCGCGGGGTAACTCCGTTGGTTACGTTGGTGAAACGATCAACTCCGTAGATGTCTACAAAGTCCTTGAAAAGGGTCGACTTGAGTAGATCGGAGTGTAGCTCGGCCACACCATTGACCTTGTGGGATCCAATGATGGCGATGTATGCCATGCGCACCATCTTCGGGTGAGATTCCTCAATGATGGAGACACGGGACAGAATCTCCCGATTATTGGGGAACTGCTTCTCCACGGACTGCAAGAAGTACAAGTTGATATCGTAGATGATTTGCAAGTGCCGAGGAAGGAGGTTCTGCATGAGAGGAACAGACCACTTCTCCAGCGCCTCGGGGAGAACAGTGTGGTTGGTGTATCCGAAAGTCTTTGTCACGATAGTCCAAGCTTCGTCCCATTCAAGACCCTCAATATCAATCAGGATGCGCTGCATTTCGACGATGGCAAGAGTGGGATGAGTGTCGTTAAGCTGGATCGCCACCTGGTCGGGGAACTCGCTCCAAGCCCTCTTGGTCTTCTTGAAGCGACGCACGATGTCGTACAGGGAGGCAGCGCACCAGAAGTACTGCTGCTTCAGTCGGAGTTCTTTGCCTCGCTCCAAGTTGTCATTGGGGTACAAGACGGCCGAGATTGTCTCAGCGGTCTGCTGGTCGGCAACCGCACTCTCGTAGTCTCCTGCATTGAATTTCTGGAAATCGAATTCTCCACTGCTCGCCTTGCTAGACCAGAGACGAAGATTGTTGGTGGTCTTGGTACCGTAGCCGGGAATAGGAACATCATATGCTACAGCCTGAACAACCTCTCCTTCCACCCAGGAGGCAACAAGTTTACCGTTCTCATCCTGCTTCTTCTTCACGTGGCCATAGAATTGAATGTCGACGGTGATATCATGGCGGGGGAACTCCCAGGGGTTGTTGTCCAGCCAATAGTCTGGAACCTCCATTTGATAGCCGTTGACAATCTCCTGTTTGAAGATTCCATAGCGGTATCGTAGGCCATATCCCCAAGCAGGGTAGTTGAGAGTTGCCAGACTATCAAGGAAGCAGGCCGCCAGACGACCGAGGCCACCGTTGCCCAGAGCCGCATCATGCTCCTGTCCGATGACATCTTCGATGCGGAATCCAAGATCCTGCAGACCCTCTGTCCAGAATTTCAGTATTTTGCCTTCAAATGGGGACTGTTGAGTACTGACCTCGAGCAGCATCCTTCATGCCCACGTTCAGCATAGCATTGTCGAGTGCTCGGCCCATCAGAAACTCGAGGGATAGATCTATTGATATGAATTAGATGATGAAAGTAATCAATCAATCGACTGGTATGGCATACAATAAACTCTCTTCTGGTCAGTAAAGGTCTGGCGCTGCTGAGTCCTGTTCCACTCGATGATCAAGCGATCTCGAAAGGCGAGGGCAGTGCCCGAATAAGCCGCCCTACATCTTGTGAGCACGAGATCCAATTTTTGAGAGCGGACTTGCTCCAATTAAATCGGGCGCTCACAAATCATCACAATTGTAGAGAGACCGAGCGAGGGTTGTTTCAATGTGCCGAACGAGCTCTCTCTGTGTAACCATTAGCTGTGGCCGGAAGATAGCCAGTGACCAATGGGACTAACCTCGAATTCGTCCTTGTTGGTGAACTCGTGGGCGGACTGTTCCAAAATTCATGTCAGCAAGTATCATGGCATCATCACTCGTATGATTGAGTTCGACCTACATATTTCCGCCATCTGCAACACCAGTGGGTTAGCCAGCTGGTACAAGCTCCCCTAGGGAAGAACAAAGGAACTCACGCCTCGCGCAGGGGTTCAGGGATGCTGGCCTCGACGTTTTTGATCTCGGAAGGACCAAGGCCGGTAAAGGTGCGCTTATGCTTGGGGCGGCTGAAGCCAGGGCCCACGGGTCCTTGAAGGTCCGCAATTGGAACACCGACGGAGGGCTTGCGCTCGCGACGTTCGGACATGGTCAGTTCACGAGTGCAATACTTTGGTTGGGAAGGTAGAACTCAGAAGGTGAGATTCTAAAGTGGGGGAGGGGAGGTGGGAGGGACAAGTAAAATAGAAATAGAAGAGGAGAAGAGCAAGGGAGCAGGCGAAAGAGGGGACCCTGCGTGACACAAAGTACGAAAGATGAGTAGAAGAGGAGAGGAGATGGGATATTAAAAGAAGAGGGAGGGAGAGAGGGAGAGAGGGAGAGTGCCTCTAGGTATACTAGTACTCTGTGCTGTTGCTGGTATTGCATGATGGGTAAAGCGAGGCAAGGCAAGTACGACCGGGCACAACTCGACCGGACGAACATCGCCCAATCCGGCAGTCATCCACCTCATTCAGTAACTTCCCTAGGGTAACTACCAGTACTAGTACTAGTACCTTACGATATCAGACATCTTACCATGGTTGACCTTATCAGTCCATCTCCTAAAGGTTAGAATACTCAATGATTCTCTGATCTTGATTCAATTCCACTGACTAGTTACTACTACTAGTTGCTGTATACCTCAAGTGGGGAAGCTCGGAGGATCGACGCTCGAGCCAACGGCCTGCAGCTGTCCGTGCTGATGCAATATGCAATATACTGCTCTCTCTCTCTCCTCTCTCTCCTCTCTCCTCTTCTCACGCTGAGTCTTTTCCCTGATTTGCAGCCTCTCCTGCTCCTGCATCAGGCCACCCCGATTCCCGTGATCTATACCCACTCACCACCCCACAATCCTTCCCCCCACCCTATCTCCGCCCTCGATTCACAGCCCACCAATACTCTGTACTGACGCGTGAGCAAAGAGATCCCTGTCCCTCTAGGAAAACGCGCAACCAGCTATGCTATGGCCCTGTCAGCCACCGACGAAACCTTCGCGCCATCATTGCTGGCATGGTGCGGGGACACTTCCTTGACATACTCCGTAGTCAATGAACCACCACGCCCTGGAAGAGGGTGTATGTCGTCAAAGATGCCTTCCTCAGTCATGACTGGTATCATTTTTCTTTTTTTTCAGATCCCGCGAGCTCTCTCCTCTGCATAGACCAAATTCGGCCGGTCGGTCGGCCGATTCTCATCCAACGGATTCTCCACGAGAAGTTGCCCCGCCCCGCAGTGTCAGCCGTCGAACTTGGGAACCTTAAAAGCTCGATGAGCTGGGTTTTGTCTCGGGGCCCGGAATACTTACCTCCCTCGACTGACCCCAGGTGCCTTCATCCAGGCTGGATCTTTCTGTACTGGAACTAAATCTCATCGCTTGCGGTGAGTATCGAGTAGCCCTTCCCCGTCAGGTCAGTCTTAGCCCAGAAATATCTGGTTCGAGGGGTTGAGACTGGCTTTGGCCATGCAGGATAATTAGGTATCGTATTGCCCGGGCTGGATTGTAGCCAATGCACGGATCGTAGATCTATCTTCTCCTGGAAAGGTATTCCAAATTGCGGGGAAATCGATCCAGGTCTAGGATCATGCGTGACGGAACCCAAGACAGAGAAATTCAACAAGTCGATACCGGTATCAGTAGTCAAATACAAGGTAGCCTCGGTCTTCATACGTGGGCGTTTCTGTACAAAGAGGAAGGAGGATGAAAAAAAAATATCTGAGCTAAATAGACCCAAACAACTTGAAGCCTGAGCTAGATCAATCCAACCGGAAATCTGGACATCGCCATAACTTCCCTACCGAAACCGGTCTATGCAAGAACCAAAAAAAATATGGACCGATTGGAAGAGCAAGAAATTCAATCAACTTGCCAGAGTATACAGCTTCTGTCGAGAAGAGGAAAAGTCACCACATGCCTGGAGCGCTTGGAATCAAGTTCAAGAGAGATATAAAAGTGAAGAGAAGATAAAACACAACAGGCGACAAGGCCAGGGTTCAATAGATAGATAGGTAGATAGATTCCATCTTGAAGAAATCACAGCAAAAAGAAACAGGTAAAATCCGCCATAATATGCATCCGACGAGAGGCTTGAGAAAAAAATAAGTTAAAAAAAAAGGATAACACAAATGGGAGAAAAGATCCGGGGTCCGAATCGGGTAATATACGGATAATGGCCAGGGCCGATGTTCAAGTATTTTGAGAAATTGAGAGCGTGTTAACAGTGATCCGGCAATCTCGCTTTGGGGGAGAAAGGGGTGCGGGGCTCTCGCGAGATCGAAGTTGAAAGGATTTCTGTCGTTCAGAGTTGGTGCTGTGAGAATAAAGTGATGAATCCAAGGATGGACGCCCAACTAGAGCCGAGCCTGAAAGATTCCACCATCGGACGAGAAAGCCGAATACAGAGTAGATAGCCGCGTAGATACCGAATGGGGTATCACTTAACGAGCGCCTGGGAAATATTTCAAGAGAAAGAGATGCGCCGTGAACGCCAGCAGCTATTCCAGAGTAAGAGCAAAGGTAGTCGAATGTCGAAAAGGAGAAATTGTTGAGATCGTAGGAATGCCCAGGGTTGGGGACCCTTCAAGAGACAGGAAAGGAACCAAATTCTCAATAGTATGAGGTGACCAAATAAGGCAGGATATTTTCGTGAGAGGTGGAGTGAAAGGGTGAGAAGCAGGAGAGGTTTGAGAATGAGACAGTGACCAGCTTATAGGATTCCCGAGTCCTTCAGGGCATTTTGCAAGATGGTTTCTTTGACCGCTGCAAAAACAAGTCGAATATTTGTGGTATCGGTTGCTTGGGTTAGACTGCAAGGTGGTGCATCAGAATGGGCCACTTCGTTGTTTTGACGGAGCCATAAAACTTACTGTGGGTAGAGATTCAAATGCGCTCGATTCACCTGGTTGAAACGCCATAGCAGGTACTTCGCTGCGCGGTTGACATCATTCCCTCCTGAATAGTCAGGGAAATAACTGCTCAATGGGGAGCGAGGCAGCTTTTGCCGGAATAAATCGACCTTATTCAGGAACAGGATGATACTTGTTCGCATGAACCATCGAGAGTTGACGACGGAGTCAAAGAGAACCAAGCTTTCCATCATTCGATTCTGAGATGTATTAGCTAGGTTGGGGTGGGGATATGCTGTGGTCTCAAGAAGGAACTTACTTGATTGCTCTCCTCCAAAAGCATCTGATCATATTCACTGAGAGCGACACAAAAGATGATAGACGTAACGTTTTCAAAACAATGGATCCATTTCTTGCGCTCACTGCGTTGGCCGCCAACGTCGAACATGCTGCAGGTCGTATTAGTGAGGCTCGAGGGGAGTTGGGATTAATTCCAGGTTGTCCACATACTGTATACTCAATTGACCCATTGTGAATCGCGTCTCGTAGATACCAGTTGTCTTTGTTCTTGCTCGTAGGACATCCGAAACATCGGGGGTGTAGTCCGGTGCCGTTATTCGCTTCGCTTCGTCGAAGAAGCTGATCGCAAGTCAGCATTCCACCTATGGGCGACAGGGAAAAACCGACAAGATACTCACTATGGTGCGGAGTCCATGAGATAAAACTCATTTTGGCGCTCCAGAACGGTTGAAGTACAGGGGTCATTCCAAAGGTATGTGATCGCATCCCCCACTTTCGGGTCGAGCGGAGTATTGGGGTCCGGGTCGACATGATATTCTTCGAGAAAGGTCATGTATTCTTGAACCTTTTGGCTGGAGGGTTCTAGAGAAAAGAGGTGATACGCTTCAATGAGGGCCTTGGCACAGTCCAGGAGGTTCTTGAAGACGGTCAACCGGTACAAGGCCAGCTCGTCGACGGTGTAACCATTCTGGTGGATAATCTTCATCTGCTTGACGATTGTGGATTTGCCGCTCTCTCCGGAGCCTGCGATTTACATCATGATCAGTCGGCAATTCTCCAGATGACCATGCGCAAAAAAAAAAACGAAGGGGTGGAAAGGAAAAGGAGCTGGGGGCGTTCAACGTACCCAGCAGGAGGATCTTGCATTCCTGCGTAACCGCCTGGAGTCTTCTTCGAGCCTCCGATCGATCATTTGACTTCTCTTCTTCTGCTCCACATCTCCAGTATTTTCGGCACTAAAACACATCCCCATGGTGACTGTCTGTATTGAAGCAGGCCCAAGGCCAGCGGGAAATAGGTCCGGGTTGACCGCGCGCAAAAGCGATCAGTGTCAGCCGGACGGGACGGCCGTAGCCTTCGGTTGATTGGGAGGACGGCCACCCGCCACGCACGAGGGGTAATATTGGTGTAGGCGGATCAGGGAGGAGCGGAGAGCGAGACTCGCGACGAGTGGAGAGTTTGCGATGGTTGAAGATTGAAAGAGAAGTGTGTTAAGGCGGGGGAAGTTGGGAACGAGAAAGGTCGGGTAAGGTAAGCGTAAAAGGGTTACTTGGCGCTGAGGTTGATGTTACGGTAAGACCAAGTCGCCGGGTTTCCGTGTCGGTCGTATCGGGTCGTGTTCGTGTAGTCGAGTTTTGGTTGCCGGGGTATAGGATGAAGGGGGTAATTCGGGCTCTGACAGTTAAGAGAGATCAAATGGCGGTGCAACGGTCGTTACTTGGGGAGGGGGAGGAGTCCACGAGTGGAGATGCCAGAAGAGCGGGTTTGGGGGGTTTGGCGGGTTTGGGGGGTAAAGTACGAGTAAAGTAACGGTACTCCATACAAAAGTGTTTTACTAGTTACGCCCCGGGGCGGAGTCGCCAGTCACCACTGCCGGCCGACTTATTAGTCTTTACTCCCGTACTAGTACGACGCACTGTACGCAGACTAAATGTATGGAGGATTTTTTCTTTCCTTTCTTTTTTTTTTCGCTTTGGGGCCAAAAGGTAATTTACAGGGTTGGCTGGACTAGGCAGAACGGGTTATCCGGAGAGGGAATAAGGGGTACTAGTATTATTCAAATGGACGAGTAGTAACTAGTATTACTATTACTATTACTATTACTATTTGTACAGCCTTGGACCTTGGTGATGCCCTGACTTAATAGAATGCTTGGATCTATTCTATACTCTAGTGCAGGTGGCTCCGGTATTTCCCATGGCTATTTTACGCAGCCGGTGAGAGTCCACTTGGAAGTGCGTCACGACTCTCCACCACAGCTCCGGCCTGGCACGTGCCTCCCCACGTTCTACATGGGAATGTGAACACCTGCACTGCATCGAGGTACGATGTACCAGGTATTAATGGTATCTATAGTGGTATCCTTGGAATATAGCAGCAGTAGTAGTAGTAGTAGTAGTAGTATAGTAATCGTACTAATGTTCCGGCTCGCAACTGCTACTAATACTAGAGGATATCCAGGTGCGCCAGGTGGGAGGTACGGAGTCACGGTACTCCGTACCAGCAATATATTTCCGAGATCTACTCCGACTCAACGCTCACCTCAAACTCAACCCAACAAAGATGGGCATCGAAACCTGAACCCCTCCACTTTCCCCGGGCGCACAACATCCAGTCTCACCCGGACGGGGAAAATGCCTTGGATGCCCGTCGCGTGGCTATTGGGTTTCACATGTCTCAAGTGTGTCCATACGACTGGGTACCTGTCCGGTTTACCGTGCTCAGGGAGTATGTACTATTAATATAGCACCACCCAGGTTCAAGTTCTTTATTGCCCACGGGTGACAGGTGACAGTGCAAGGCTCCCCTCATCCCCTGTGGCTTTCCAGGGCTGTCAACCATATCGATCGATCCTGGAAACCGGGTCTCCACTTTGACCTCTCCCGCCGATATTGTACATGTGTCCCCTGGTGGATTGCCCAAGTGTAGTATATCGGAAGATCATTGATCACCTCAGTCTGGACCGTCTGCAACCTGCAACGCTCGGTTCTGATATCCGATGCTGCATGAGTGGTGCAAGTGGACTGGTGACATTGGCATTGACATTGATTGACATGGCATTGACGTTGGCGGGACCACGGAGGGCGAATGACAACCGCACAACGCAGCAGGTGTCGGGACCGGGCTAAGCGCGAGTTATTAGTGATTCGGCCTTTTTCGGAATTCTTAATTGGATTGTAGTATATTGTGTAGAAAGATAAGATTAATTGAGACCACTACGATACTTCGGACTTCGACTACGAGTATGTAGGGAGTACGAGTAGGAGTGTGCGAGTACTCCTACATCTGCCCCTTTAGCGTGGTTCCCGGGTAATGGACCGGTCGAGACGCGCGGAGTGGGGATGGAGACAGTAGAACTCATAGTACTCGAGCGTAGGGTTTAGGGTATGAGGGTATTCGGGGAGGGAATATCAATTAAGGAGAAGTTAAGTATTAGATCTAGTAGGTTATTAAAATTATTAAATATTATCAATATTTTAAATTCTATAATTATTCAATTAATGCTATCTACTAGTACTGTACTCTACATACTGCAGTTCAAGGCTAGACCCGACTGAGTCAGCCGCAGCAGAGAAACCGAGAAACCTGCTCGCAAACGTCATCGTCCTTGTTTTCTGCACTTCTCACTCCTCACCGCAGAAGGCCCTTCCCCACATACGTTCCAAGGCCCCTCCGTCGGCTTCACCCCTTTCCCCTTCTATCTCTATCTCTTTCGTGTCTGTCTTTTCTCATCTCAAAAAAAGAACAAAAGTTGTCTCGTTTTCATCATGGCCGAATTCGTTCGCTCCCAGATCTTCGGCACCACCTTCGAGATCACCAGCCGGTATATTGCCCTGTGCCCCGCCGGGCGCGTGAATTTCCATCGCTGATCGTGTTTTTTTTTTCTTCTTCTAGGTACTCGGACTTGCAGCCGGTAGGCATGGGTGCCTTTGGCCTCGTGTGGTGAGCATAATTCCCATCTCCGCTCTGTCGCGCGCGCCCCCGTCGGCAAGATTCACCCCCATCGCTAATCATCATGCGCTTGGTAGCTCCGCGCGCGACCAATTAACCGCCCAGCCAGTCGCCGTCAAGAAGATCATGAAGCCCTTCAGCACTCCGGTCCTATCGAAGCGTACCTACCGAGAGCTAAAGCTTCTCAAGCACCTCCGCCATGAAAATGTGGGTTCTTCTCGTATCAATCAACCCTTCTCCAGCGCTAGCTCAAATGTACTGAACGCCTTATACAGATCATCAGCCTGAGCGACATCTTCATCTCCCCTCTTGAGGATATGTATGTCGTTATATGACACGTTTGGAAACCGACACGCCGACTAATGACTGTAGTTATTTTGTTACCGAACTTCTGGGAACTGACCTCCACCGACTCCTCACCTCGCGCCCTCTTGAGAAACAATTCATCCAGTACTTCCTCTACCAAATTCTCGTGAGTTACTTTCGAATTAATGAAAACCCGGGGATATTTCTCGTTGGGATCCCTTGACAACTCTTTCTTTGACTAACTGCCACAGCGTGGATTGAAATATGTCCACTCCGCTGGTGTTGTCCACCGCGACCTGAAGCCCAGCAATATTCTAATCAACGAGAACTGCGACTTGAAAATCTGCGATTTTGGCCTTGCTCGAATCCAAGATCCGCAAATGACTGGCTATGTGTCAACGCGCTACTACCGTGCGCCTGAAATCATGCTTACATGGCAAAAGTACGACGTTGAGGTGGACATCTGGAGTGCGGGCTGCATTTTCGCCGAAATGTTGGAGGGCAAGCCACTTTTTCCTGGAAAGGACCATGTCAATCAATTCTCGATCATCACCGAGTTACTGGGAACTCCCCCCGACGATGTGATCCAGACTATCTGTAGCGAGAACGTGAGTCCCACCACCTGTCATGAGGTAGCACAAAATCCGGGCCTTGGCTAATTGTTTTTACTTTCCTCTGGATCTAGACCCTGCGATTTGTCAAGTCCCTACCGAAGCGCGAGCGCCAACCCCTGGCGAATAAGTTCCGGAATGCCGATGCCGATGGTTCGTGACTTTTGATTCCCACAGCCCCACCCTTTGTGTGCCCCCGTTGACAAAGATTTAGCCGTCGATCTGCTTGAGCGGATGTTGGTGTTCGACCCCAAGAAGCGAGTCCGGGCCGGAGAAGCGCTGGCGCATGAATATCTGGCCCCCTACCACGACCCCACCGACGAGCCGGTCGCGCAAGAGAAGTTCGACTGGTCGTTCAACGATGCCGACCTACCCGTGGATACCTGGAAGATCATGATGTGGGTAATTTCTCGTGTGTATGAATTAAAACGCCGCTTACATTTTTCTTTTCTCCTCAATAGGTACTCGGAAATCCTCGACTTCCACAACATTGACCAAGGAACCGAGGCTGGCCAGGCTCTGGTTGCTGGTGGTTCCGTGCAAGGAGGCGGCGTCTCCCAGAATTTCGCATGAATTTCATGATCCAACGAACCACATAATTTCTACCATAGTATCTTTTTCTGCACTCGTGTTTTCTTTTTTTTTTCTTTTCCTCCTCTGGATCGTTTTCCTCTCTGGTTAACTTCCTTCACCTCCAAACCAAGGAGCCACGGCATCCAAATCATATATCTGTTTTAACTGGGAAGCTTTGCAAAGTGGGCGTGTTCGTCTTTACTTTACTTTTTCTTTCCTTTCTTTCTTGGCCTATTGAAAGCCAATTGTCCATAGCTAGTTCGGCGTCGTTAAGAATCGGCCGGTGATCAGGGGATACCTTCTCATTACCATACGGTACAATCAGATTTGGGAAAGAATAATTGGATATGTAGAAGTCGTAGTTTTTAAGTCATAAATAGTACAGTAGTTAACTTCACTCCTCCTACTCCCACTCACTGCCAATCATTCCATTGGCTAACCTGGAGACTCACCGCGGGGCTGACCTCGGGGAAGGGGCACACCGCCCGCAATCAACACGTGAGCGATAGCCTATCGAAATCCCCTGCGACAGGTTGAATCCCATACTCCGTACATGCTACTTGCTCTCTTCTCTTAGCTCCAGCTCCCTTGCGCTCGTGTTTTTATGGGGACAATTCGGGCCGTGGAGAAACCCCCCCGAACCCTTACATTCACTATCTCCAATCTCTGCTGTCCCCCGCACGACCGTCCCCATGGCTATTCCGAATAAACAAGATCCGATTGTCCTGGTGATTGATTTCCACCATGCGCGGTACGTGCTTCCCCGCAGTCGTAACCCAGTGATCAAAGACAGCTGGCCTCGTGGCAATGTGCCTTCTAAAACCTATGCTAATGCAATCTGCAGGGGTCCGGAAATCGAGCATTGCATCGCCAACGAAGGCGCGAACCCTGCCACAGACAATGACTGGTCATTGCTTCCGTTCATGGCCCTGTCTGATGGCGCTCACCTGTATGGCATTAACTTCCCGAAACCTACCTTAACGTGGCCACGCTGTGTCTCTCTAGTCGATATGGCCACCCTCGATTTTATAGTGGAGAGCAACGCGCTAATGTCCTGCGATTTAATACTCCTTCTAGTTCGACCGAGGAATTCTCCTATTTTACCCTACGTGGCAGAGAAACACCCGAGACCTCTGAAACTTCACTGTTCGGTATCGCCTGCTCGCGCCAGCTTGATGCCAAGCTCCTCCTCAATCGCCCGCCGGACGTGACGAGATCTACGGTACAAAAGGCGGTGGTTGTTGTCACCGATTCCCCGCAGAGGGTAGGCCAGCTGCGCGAGAAGCTCTCGGTGGTAACAACGGCGTGGTTTGCTCAACGGTATGTTGGAAATAGCTTCTGCGCAGGAGAGAATGGCTGGGATACCCCGCATGAGGGAGATTGTATTGGAAATGGTCCAATGAGCTGAGCTAACTTCGTACGTGAATCGATAGCGACTTCTCCGATATCGATATTTTGAAGGTATACATGACTCCATGGACTCGAGGAATGAACCGCAGACTCATATTTGATCTAGAAATTTCACGAGGGCTTGGTGATTAGCTTAATGAAGGATGGCCCGAAGGATCAGAACTTGGGTTAGTATTGTCCATGTACTTCGATTCGCGTGGCATTTGACTGACTTGGACTCAAGGTCTCTCCCTCCGAGAAATGATTCACGAATTTAAGTACCAGACTCTAGTACTATTCAAGGCATTGCTATTGCAGCCCAAGGTATGGGCCATCTATCCCCTCTCGGTGGGAGCTATATAATGAATTACGCTGATTGATGAAGATGCTTTTCTTCGGTACACGATGCGAAAGATTATGCATGCTCCAATTTTCACTCGTCTCCTTAATACCCGGTCTTATAAACAACTTGGAAGACTGCGCAGATCCTTCATTTGACAGCTATGCACAGAGCGTTGAGAAGCCAACTTCTCTCAAGACTAGTGATCGCAGCTCTTGTAAACTTTTCTCTAAATCCGTTCTTCAATCATGGAGTTACTAACCTTTCGGCAGTGCTGGCATATATGGGTCTACCGTTGCAGATCTTTGGAAAGGTATGCGTTGTTTTCAACTGAAAATTCTGACTGGAACCCTAACTCTCTTGCCAGGGAAGCATGTTCGGGCCCTATACCCCTCTTCAGCAGCTGGATCTGTTAGCCGACGATGGTACGAAGTCGTATGTTGTGGGATCAACGAATTCATTGCTTCTACAACAGAAGGACCGCTACAGTGATATTTTAATCAACGTGAGTAGTCCGCTCCCTTTCTGGGTTATAACACTTCTAACACAGTTTGTGACCACCAGCTTGATGAAGATAGCATTAGTATCTCATCTCTACCTCTCCGAAACGCTTTGGCCCTCTCCACGGCCGACAGACGCTGGATTGATCTTCTCACTCAAATTGTTAATGACACTTGGGATGAAGAACACCCGTCACGCCCAAAGACCCTTGGTTTTATGGGCTCCGAGGAGTTCATTCGACTGCAATTTGAGGAGTACCTGCTGGCCCTACTATCTTCCATGAAATACCACGAAGAACTCAGCTCGTTTACTTCCGGTGAATCTGGCCATCGCAGCAGAGCGCAGTTACAAAACTTCAACATTGAAGGAGACCCTGCTGTCGACTTTAACACCGAATTTTTGATCCAGTGGCAGAAGACCTCCAACTATGCACTCTTCTCGCGCCTCACCTCGGATGCACTCTTGTTTTCTATTACCGAACCCCGACACCCAAGTGCCGGTGGATTGACCGTGGAAGATATTCAACGTCGACTATCTCAACAAGTAGCCGATCTCCATCTAGACGAAAAGGTTCGTGAGGGACGGGAGGCACTCGGCAGACACCTTGCAACAGGCCAGAAGAAAGTCAGCGCAGCATACAACAGATTCTGGTCCGACATGGAAACCGTGCGCGAGAACCAAAAGAAGCGCAATGAAGAAAGATCCTCCCAGTCACAGCGCGCTTCAATTGATACCCCCGCCTCTCCTTCACAAGGATCCATTGATGATTCCACCTCCGAAACATCAGGTGCTTGGTTTGCTAGCCGCCCAAGAGCTTCAATTGACGTCGCCCAGGCCCAGGCCACAGTGGGCCAAGCCAGCCAAAAGGCTGGCGCATATTTCAGTTCATGGGGGTCATGGGCGAACGAGAAGCGACGTGAGTGGCAAGAAAAGCGCAGCGCTTCGCCAAGCCCGCAGCAAGGCGCAGTCGCCCCGTCACCATCAGCACCATCACTGCCTATTGTCAGCGAAACCATCCACGATTCAGACCGCGGCCGTCGTCGCTCGATGCAGCGACAAAGCGAAGATGCCGAGGGTCTGTCGCGCAGTCTGAGCCGTAGAAAGAGATGGAGCAATATTCTTCTGCGTCGCGAGAGTGGTGAATTCAAGCGCGACGAGAGTACCGATGCCCCTTTCCCTAAGTCACCCCTCTCGCAAGGCTTCCCAGCACACGATCTTGGCACGGAGGAGAATCCATTTGAAGCCGAAAAGGTTCCGGGACAGCAGCATCAACACCAAGCTGCCGACGCGGACGGTTTCACTAGCGTCTCACTTACGCCCAATGAGGGACTCCGCGTGGACCTCAACCCCAGCGAGTCTACGGCTGAAAAGACAGAGGGTTCCAAGAAGACCGCTGATCCACGACCGGATGATTCGCTGACTGCTCTGCCCGTCAAAGACGAAGAGCAATCGCATGTCGAGGCTAAGGATGATTCCATTTCTAGCAAATAAGGTTTCTTTCTGCATCTCGTCCATCACGACAGTACATATGTTTTGAGTGACGGATTCTCTTTTTTCATGTTATTTACTTGTTGTTTCCCCTTCTTCTTCTTCTTCTTCTTCTTCTTCTTCTTCTTCTTCTTCTTCTTCTTCTTCTTCTTCTTCTTCTCACCCCTTTCTTTATATCTCTGGTACTTGGCATTGTAGCGCGGCATACCCATTCTAGAACACCATTCCCATTCTCCAATTGTCTTTGTCTATACTACATTTTCACCCAACCCCCTCCTCAAACACACCAATTGACTTGAACTTACTTTCCAAAATTACGCAATGTGCGATACAATCTTGGCATTCTTGCGTTTTTTCTCTTCTTCCAAGGTTCTTTTAGGACTCTCGTGTCATGCGGTCAACTTGCATGTCCACTAGAACTTGAAATTAGACATTGATTTCACTGGACTTGACCTAGTGTATTGAGACGACTATGATTAAATATGTATAGGATGAAATAACCTGTGCGGTTGACTTCTTCTATGTCTAATCAGATCGATAGCACCCTGGGTGGACTACCTTACCCGGGTGGGGAGGGGATAGTGTGTGGGAGTTCTAACTGTGGAATTGAGACTCCTCAAAATTATGGGTAAAGGCAAGACCGGGTAGCCTGATCAAAATACACGTAGGGAAATAAAAGGAGAATTCGGGTTATCATTGATCTGTCGTCTCAACGCTATGATGAAAGATGGAATAAAATAAACACAAAATGCGTCGTTCTTGTGCTCCGAAGCTCCCTTATCCCCACCAAGCAAGAAAAAGAAATTCCCCTTCCTCGTCGATTCCGGGTCACCCAGTCAGTTTAGGGCACCATCCTTGCCGCGCCTCCTCTTTTGTCCAATTAGAATGGCGTAGAAGCAACAAGCAAAGGTGGAAATCAACCGAATCAGATCAGATCAGGCAGAGGAGCGACGATAGTAGAGGAGGATCGGGGAAACGGAAACATAGAAACGGGCGTGAGCCTGATGCGATGAGATAAGGAGGAATGAAGAGCGAAGGGGGAAAGCAAATGGTAGAAATGAGGTGGGGAGTTTAAGCAATGTAAGCAATTTCATCCCCGTCGAGACGCTCGATGTAGTCCTTTTCCATGAGGGCTTCGATGTTTTTCTTGATATCGGGGATCTTGGGCGGGAAGCGAGATTTGACGATCTGGATGACTTCTTGCACCAATTGAACGTGCTTCATCTTCTTTCGAGATTTCATCACACGGACGATGGCCGACTGGTGAGCGTTAGTAAAGAACAGAACAATGCATAGTGAGGCGTGGAGAGGGTCTGGGAGGGGGGGCTTGGCTCGTACCTGGAGCAGAAGTTTCCGGTCCTCTTCTATGGTTTTGTGGGTATCATCCGATTCTTGCTTTTGCTCCGACTTAATCTGGATGTTGAGATTGACCTTGATTTTCTTGTTTTTGAAGTTGTAGTTGAGGGAGAATGTGGTGGAAGGGTCAGGCTTGGCACCCTCCGGACTTGCCAGGAGCACCTTCGCCTTCAAAAGGATACTGAGGTTAGGATCAAGGACTTCAGGGCCGAGTGCTGTCGCTTTTTGGATGTCGGAGTAGCCCATGGTGTCAGTCTCATTGAACAGCAGCAAGATGCCCATTTGGTAAGTAGACACTTGGAAGGTGTAGGGGAGTTTGGCGTTCTTAATGTAATTCGCCTTAACTTCGCCCTTGCAGAGTTGCCACAACCAGGTCAGCTTACGACCATTGTGCTTGCCGAAGTAAAATTGCTGGAACCGCTCGCAGGTCTTGTTGATCTCAGTGGGAGCATTGAAGGGGGTCGTGGGAGGGTTAAGGGGGCCAAAAGCCGGTTCCAAGGATCTGGAAGTGTGAGTCGACCATCTTTTTGCGTTCGTCGTCATCATAGGTCTTTTCTTGGTGATCCTTGTAATTCGAGTTGAGATCTTTGGAGAGTTGAATGTCCTGGAACATGCGCTGCAGTTTGTTGGTGTATTCGAAACCACAAGCCTCCTTCAGTTTACTGATCATACTGGTCTCTGCATCGTCGGACACCGAGCTGACATGCACCAGACGTTTCGCCAACATCTTAGAATAAAACTTTTGGAAAACATCTTTGTCCTCGATGTATTTGAAGACAGTCATGATCTGCGTGAGCATTTCCTCCAGTTCGGACTCCTCCGCAGCCTTAGAACCCTTCTTCAGTAGGCCATCGGTGTATTTTGCCAGAAGCTCTGGAGAGCGAGTCGTCGTTGTCTTGCAGATGCGGTTTCGGTTGACAAATTCGCGACAAGCATTGTCGAGAGAACGCACAAACTCAGACTCGCCATTGAAAGCCTCGTCAACGAGATTTTGATACCGGGTATGAACCTGTAGAAGGGCGTCCACGTAGAGCTTGGGCTCGAAGTTATCACCCTCCGATGCGACCTTCTCAACAGCAGCTAGACCAGCTCGTCGCACATGGTTTTCAAAGGTAGCACGCAGAGGGTCCAGTCCCTCCTTGATGCGAGATAGGAGTCGGTACATGCGGGCAAGGTCTTCCTGACGCTCATTGTCCAGGAGAATCTGGAACTCATCGCGAAGCAAGTTGGAATGGGCGGTGACAAGGACGTCGAGGCACGTCTCGGTAAGTAGCTTGGTGACATCGGGGTGCAAATAAAGGCCGACCCGATCTTTCTCCTCTGCAAGTCGAGCCTCCGCCTTCTTCATGTACTCGACAACGCTGTTCTCCGCCACAAACTGTCGGGATTCGTTTTCGTAATATTGCTTGGTGGCTGCAATGAACGGCGTCTGGAAATAGGTTCGATAGACTTCGAGGGTGGGCTTCTTGCTATCGTTCTCGTCCAGGCCCAGAGAGACGAATGAATCAACGATGCTCTTGATCTGGGATTGTTCGATGGTTTCGCCGTTGCGCTGTTTCTCAATGAGGTTTAGCACGGCATCCATCACCTTCTCGTGAACATGCTCAAAGAAATCCTCCTTCCACTTGACGAGATGCAAAGTGTAAACGTCGTAAACATTCTTCTTGCCCTCATCGATCTCGCGCTTCACCCAGTGTCGATTGAGGTAGCTGAACAAATGGTTGATGTATTTGGCGGCGGTGGTGTATCGTGACCATTCGCGGATGTAGAATGCTAGGAGAGCTTCTTCGGCGTGACTTTGGGATTCCTTGTAGACAACAGCCAGATGGCGCGATAGATACTCGCCTAACAACTTGTAAAGCTCTTCGCCCAAGAGGTGTGCTGAGCGCATAGGGCGTTCCGTTAGTGAAATTCTATCCAGGGAACCCGCGATTCGAGCTAGGAATAAGGGGGACAAACCTCCTCGGTGGGCTTGTAGACCTTGACTGCTGGTAACGGCTTTCTGTGAGGTACAAAAGTTGTGGACGGCGCTATGGTAGATCTGTGAGCGGGGAAAACAGAATCGGTGCGGGCATCAAACATACGTGTAAAGAGCCATGTACTAGGTAAAGAAGACCGAGGTAAGTTTAAGGACATTCAAATGAGAGCCAGTCGCTTCATTCTGGATGAGGGCGTTCGAGTCACTCACATGCTTCATGTCAACTCCTTCCTCCAGCTTCATCATCACATTATCGATTCCCGCCTCGAGGAACGACCACCTAGAGAAAAATCAGCCCTGTTCTATCTTTTTGCTGCATCTATTTATCCTGACTCACGTTTCGGGAAGGTCATCTTTATGCGGTGTTTGAGGCATGGCTGCCATAGTGGTTGAGGAGAGATGGGGCGATTTCGCAGGGACGAAGGAAGGGAGTGATTCTGGAAGAAAGATGATAAAAGATCAGCTGGAAAGGTCCGAGACATGCAAAACAAGAGGTCAGGTCAGGTTCTTTTAAAGAGCGCGTACAAGTGAGACTTAATCTCCCAGGGTCGGAGATGGGGTAGAGCGCCACGAGTCACAGCGTGTGATTTTCGGTGCAGAATCCAACTGCTGATGATTTTGGGGGGAGAAGATGCGTGCAAAGAGAGAGTAGAAAAGAAAGAACGATGCCTCCCATGCGAAACAAGTGAGCAAGGCAGAAGAGAGATCAGGCAGACGAGTGTGGCGGCAAGATGAGGCTGAGATGCGTGGGGACCTCGATGCGTCGACCGCGGGCGGTCAGCACCGGGCGGTGAAGGTCTTCATATGGCGATCACAGCTTGTTGTTTTGCCAGCATCCTACAGAGTATATCACAGTTTCACCATTCACCGTAGCATGTTAAAGTAGTGCTAAGTTGTTCAAAGAGACTAGGCTCTGGTATGATGTATCGTATTGCTCTAAGTGTCTTCATTACTTTCACCACCTATAGAGTGGATTTTGTGGTGTCACTTCGCACAGTCAGCAATCTAGAACCTAGCTAACGTGTGATAAAAAAAAGCACATCTATGCCAAGACAACTCAAAAAACACAAAGGTGAAAGAAGCAAAGATTAAGGAAATGAAAGAGTCAAAACAAGACCCACAGAGCTCGAAGCTGTTCGCAAAGAATCGCAGGCCTTGTCTGTGTATCACAGGCCCCGGAATGACGTCATTGTATTGGTGAAGGCCGGGGTTCTGATTGGAAATGTCATAACCAGTGCATAGTAGCGCTTGTACGAGAAATCTAGGCCGAAACCTAGCCTCGGACCAGACGAGTACAAACCAGACATGAGCTTTCGTTGACTCTCAGAGATCCAGGTGACTTGCCATCAGATCTCCTCTTGGGAGCTCATGCCCAAAACTGCGATTCAAGAACATCCACTCATGATATACCACGGCACTTTCGACGCCACAGCCGCTAAACTCGAACGGCACCTCGGGGAAGCTGGAGAAGCTGGGAGCTGTACCCTAGTGGGTTTTATATCGTGTATAGCTGACCCCATTTCCACGCCCTGCCCATGAAACTCTTGGTGTTGTCGTGGGTCGGCCTGGTCTCTGTTATGGAGGTGAACACAGCCCACAGCGGTTCGTATCAACCCTCCGACGAGGCAGTTCGGCAATTGTACCCGTCAAGTTTGAGAATCGCTTGCTAGTGGACGATGCTGGTGAATTCTTTGGATGGTGGGATTGTAACTGTTTGCAAAACAGTGGACAATGCAGCGTATTAGATGGGCCGCTGGAGGGGCAGGATAGAATTAAGGACATCCTGGGCTTGATATGGATTCATAGAGAGCTTAAATGGGGAATGCGGGCTCAATCTGCCAGGATCCAACGTTGGGTAAGATGGGCGACAATGCATGCTTTCGAAATATGCTTCCCCGACCGACACAGGAAGCTTGGAGTAAATCGAAGTGCAACTGTAAGATTGAGCTCTTAATGCTTCACCCGTTCAACAAGTCTATAACGATATCAGTATCCAAGCGAAGCGAAGCATTTTTCCTGGACGTTGTTGGTACTTACCGGAGGACACTGATGCAGAATGTCATTAGCCAGGCAAGTAGAGCCACCAAAAGAACCGATGCCAGGGCTTTCTGGCGAACACAAATCCTATCATTACGAGGATCAATCTTTTGGTTGACTTCTGCTTCAGTACATGATCCTGTCACTTCTGATAAAGAAGCAAATGCCAAGCTAAGGTTGGCAGAATCGAAGACGATGAAGACCAAATCCAACAAGATAAGTCGCGCCTTTGCCGAAGGCGAACGCAGGCCCAGGGGCTTTGATGTGTATTCATCAAACGTAATATAGAGGAGGTATACCAGAGCGATGGCGTCAACAATGATGGCCATCAGGGCAGATGGCCCTTGCGAGTGACCGCCCTGATCCGAGAAATGTTGGATAGATCCGCCCAAGGCGAGAGCGGAGAGAGAGAAACACCAGACGGTCAGACGTAAAATCAGCGGCACTATGGGACTTTTGAGAAGAGTGCTATGGAACCTCTTAAACCAGATTTGACGGCGATTCTTCGAGTGCAATGGATACTCTGGGCTGTCACCTTCAAGGTGCTTCCCTCGCCAGGGATCCGCGTAACTGCCGTGGTTCTCGAGCATCCACTCGGGTGTGACCTCTTTATTCTCGTGGCCATGTTCCCGAGGGTATTGGATAGATCGCGAGAAGGTTATCCAGCGTGATTCGCGTTCTGTGGACGGTGAACGTTCATCCTCAAAGAGAGGTTGATCTTGTGATGGAGTATAGTGGTGGCTTGATGATGCATGAGGCGAGTGATTATGCTGAGCCACAAATGCACCGCTCGGTTGGGAAGGTAAAAGACGATCGGCTGCCGTGGCATCCTCTCCCTCGTCGTCTGCGGCGGCTTGGACAGATTGAATCCATGCTACGAGAGCCAAAAGTTAGTGACAATGAAATAATGCTTTTACTGTAAACAACGACAGGGGAGACAAGTCTATAAACATACGAGGCAGAGTTCTTAAAGTGAAATGTTGCGACTGTACGAGCTCGTCTATCTGCCCATCCGGAATTTGCGACGCGGTGGCTGGTGAGCCGTAAGCACCATTGCGCAGAGCGGCAACCTGGGTATCGATGCTCAGATGGTTCGAGGACGCGGGCGCAATTGGTGATGACAGGCCCGAGGGAAGCTTTTCAGAAAGTTTTTCATTGAGGACACGCCCCGAAGTGCCTTGTTTGGAGCTGTTCGCATCCATGGCAGGTTGGTGTAGGGCGGGACTCGGAGACTGCGGAAGGGCGTCAATTTGGGATGTGCATGTCCGAGAGATTGTTGATCACAAAGCACAGCCTAGGAAATAGGCCGAGTCAGGACGGAGTGACAGAGTCGAGGGGTAAATAAAAAATGGGGCGTGGGTGGGTGTGATGTGCAAGATGAAAGCAAAGCAAAGCAAAGCAAAGCAAAGCAAGGCGAGACCCTCGGGCCAAAAAACGAGTTGGCGTGGTTCGCGCGGAATGACGTCTCCCCCCTGCCTAGTCCCATCCATCACTTCTTCACCTTCACCTTTTTCCTTCCTCAACCTTCAAAGGCCCTTGGGCGCACACATAAGCGCATGGTCTGTTGACATCACACTCCCTTTTCATATTCCTCTCCTTCTTGAAATTCTCGATATTTTATTTCCGGTCCCAATATCCCCACCCACTTCCCCGCTGTGATGCGCCTTTTCTTGATCCCTATCTCGACTAGACGGGCGTTGATATATGCGCGACCGCTTCGAAGAGACACCGCCAAGGAGCTTTCGATATTGGACCGCGTGACAACAAAGGCGGCACAAACATGGGCCGGCTGGGAGGAAGCTGAGAAGGGCTGGAAGAAACACCTGGTGACCTGGGGAAATAAGGTCCAGCAACGGATCCCATTTGAAGAATGGGGTCTCAAGAGCATTCCGTCCCTCACGACACAGCGACGAATTGATGAGCAGTATGGGTCTAAGATAATTGAAGTTCTATACCCGGCAAATGCTTTGCGATTGGAAAAAGTCCCCACGCTTCTGCGTACCATCGCCACAGAACGGCAGGAGTTTCATCAAAAGAAGATGCGGTGGAGCCTCGGCATAGCCCCTTTAACAGCACCCTTGGGTTTGATCCCAGTGTGAGTTTCTATTTGGGCCGGCCTGTTGAATGACCGACAGAGTGCTAACGAAGAATTCTAACGTGCAGAGTCCCGAATATTCCTTTCTTCTACCTGGTCTACCGAGGATGGTCTCACTGGCGCGGTTTGTCGACCCGATTCACGAATTGCCCAATCCCAAAGACTAACACCCATACTTTGCAGCATTGAATGGCTCCCGTCATCTCGAGTTCCTTGTTGAAAAGAACCTTATCAACCCTACATCTCCCCGGAATTGGAGGAGCTGTACGCCAAGCGAGCCTCGCGCACTCTGGACAACATACCGGCCGATACACCCGCGTCTGATATGGTTGATGGTATGGAGCAAAGCGATGATCGTATATTACTGAAGATGTCCGACGCAAAAAGGCTAGCGACCATTTTCGAAGCACCGGAGTTGGCGCTGGAAGCAGAGCGAGCCATCATCCAAGTTGGTGAGCAGCTGGAGGCCAAGAAGGCGAAAGCGAAAGAAGACGACCTAAAAAATGAGAAGAAAGATTCATGAGTCGTCAATTTGATGAGATTCAGGCGTTGGTCAGGCACAGGACCCCGATAGAAAGTCCACTCTTGGTATAAACTGTTTTCATATTACACGCACCTCTTGTATCATACTGATTAATGCCAAAATACCATTCTGCAAGCAAAATTATCTAGTCTCATTTCGTATCTAGGACAGCAGGCCCCCGTTCTTCACGCTGACCCCAGACTCGGACCTATTTTGCTCATTATACGTAAGGGCTAGAAACAATCAATTTGAGTAGTTTTCAATCAGATCCCAAGTTCGAAAGCATACGCGACACTTGGATCATCCTGCCCGATAACAAAGTAAAGGGTGTCATCTGTATAGGAATGCGTATAGTATCCCAAATCCGTCGGTGCATCAACTTCAGTATACAAATCTCCAGTCTCAAATCTCAGGGTACGAATGGGAAGATCTCCGCTCGGTGGCAGTCCAACAGCGCTCAACCCGGACAGGACAATGCCCCATGTACCAGTAGTTGGGCGTACACCAGCCAGAACTCTCACCCTGTCGCTGCCCACAACAGCATATGTGTCCCCGAGGGTGTCTTCTGTCATTTCTGAGCGAACCCGATAGCCGGTCATGTTCAAGGTGTAATATTGATAGGCTTGATATTCTCGACATGGCCAGTAGTTAGTATCGGAAATTTCGTAATTCGGATAAGTGTCGGCTTTCCCAATTATGTTCGCGAGGTAATCGTGTAATTCATATTCTCCTCGCCAGTTTGAACGTAGACCGAGGGCGTTGGCACGTTCAATCTGTGCTATATTCCACGCCGAACCGGAGGGAACTTGGTGGTCAATATTTCCATATTCGTTCAGCATAAAGGGTCCATCGTATGTGATAGTCGCATTAGCAAGGAAGACTTGGAAAGCGTCGATTGACGTCTGTAAATCACCATCTTCTGTCAAAAAATGCATAGTCATCCAGCCTGGAACACTTTGGTTGAAGCCGTAAAGCTAGCCCATGCAGAGTACCAGTCTTGGGCACCGCGATCAGGCAGGTTACCGAAGGAAGGACCGGCAGATTTTCCTCCGGGGAATTCATTTATAAGAAGAATTCAGAGTCAGAACACGTGCTGCCGTAGATGTTGTGAGATGTAGAAAGGGTTTGAAGGAATTGAACGTACGCAACTCGGTGGTAAGTAAGGCCCCAGATCTCCAAATACCGATCAAGGCCCCTAGTGTAGTATTGGGTGTTGTCGATCTCATTGGTGATATCGAAGTAAACACCATCGATTACGTTGTTCTCGATGAAAATGCTGAAAATTGCGGAAAGGAAGTTGTTGTAATCTGTCCAATCGCCATTGTCACCAGGTGTAGGGATATCAGCAACTGAATCGTATCCATCAATGCCCCACAGGTCATGGAGAAGAATTTGCACGTTAGCACCAAAGCGACGTGCTGTGAAGTAGTTCTTCATTGTCGATTGCATACGGCACTACCAATCTCTTTAGTTTCTATTTTTGGACTCTCAACCATCACGATAGAACCACAATCGCTTAATATCTACCTCATATTACACTTACCACGAATTCATCATACCCATACGTCCATCCTCGACAGGGCGATGGCAGTTGGCCACCTCCAGTTCGATGATTGTTGAAGCCCATGTTCGTATAGAATTGTTCTGGAATCTGAGATCCATCGTCGGGAATGCCATACAATATTCCAGATGCCCGATGCTCCGGGCTTCTTCTGTTGTTACCCAGATAAACCCAAGAAGAAGTACCATCCAGTGTGCGCTTGGTAACAGGACTAACTGTCGGAGATGCCACAGCCCAAACGGGCAACAATAGAACAAGTTTTAGGATCGAATTCCACATAATGATTCGTTCCTTGCTGTATTGAACCTATGGCGAGGTGAATATCCTTTTGGTTGTGGAGTCGTGTAGGAGCCTGGGGAAAGCAAGCCCGACCTTTTTATATAGAATTGTACTCTCCGCCGGCCCCGCCAACTTCTCTGAGTTCTTCAATTGACATGTTCATGAAATTCAATCAGCGACGTTCTGAGGTTACCGGGAAATGGAAATGCGAGGCCCCGGAATAGCAACCTGTTCACGTAGAGGCGTCCATCCCCTGACTTCCCCACCGGGCGTTTTTCTCGGGCGTAGCTGTTTCTTCAGTGAATAGAAACCAGCTAGATACAGGTACCGCCTGGCAAGTGCTCAACTCAAATGTGACATTAATGCCCGGTTTGCTAATAGGGCAACCCGAAATCTGAAAACATGATATCTTGAATAATGTGCCGGTCTCAAATATCTATAGATTATGCAGCCCCTTTGTGAAGACATTTTTGTGAAGGCATTCCCACTAGTAATGGACATCCTCAGATAGTATTTTGCATCTAAAGCACATTCCTTTCATTTATTAGGGACACGTGTATTACGAACTTTGGCATAAAAAACTCAACGGAATCAGGGGTCATTTCCTGATGTTTAGCCGACGGCAAGTGGCCCACATAATCTATGCAAACAATACTTTTCACGTCGCAACTTGGCATTCCGGTGGAGTTTGAGAGAGAGAGAGAACAGGGAATTAATCAAAGGCAAGAGGTTTAGGACGACGAATCACTTCTCCCACGGAAAATTCTCTTATGATATCAATTATGCATGAGAGTTATGATGAAGTCATTGCAAGTATCACCAAGGTCAAAACTCAAACTTAGCAAGTTGAAAATTATCAAGATGAATAGCACGGTGAAGCTCAAAGTATTATCTCTCATGAGTTACTTGTCATATGTCTGACGACTGACCGTACTGTTTTCCAAGATTGGCAAGGACATGTTCTACCTATCTAGGCTCACTCGCCGGCTGAAGCCATCAATCTTCGCCTTTTGTTCGAATGGTCTACCATTCAATTCTAAGGCTGTATCGTAAAATATATTCAATCAAAGAATGACTTCAGTTCAAGTTCCCATAGAGTTGCTATGAAATATCCAGAATTATCGCAATCGATTGGCTCACAACTTCAACGAAATGGGATACTGATCTTGCATCACTCACGTTTCTGAGTAATGGCCTCTTGACTATCGACATATGCATCTACCTCACACTGTGCAAATTGACGAGCTCCTACTCTTTTTGCAAACAGGATATCCAGTTCCTCGAAAGTCTTCCCCTTGGTCTCTGGTAGACGGAAAAACGTCCAGACAAAAAACACGGCCGTGGTGCCACCCCAGAAAAAGCCGGTCTTGCCACGCCAATTACCCGCAGTGGGGTTCAACATTTCTGGATTAATGCTATTGCAGACAATCTGAGCGATGTAATAGGCAATACGACTGAGGCAGACGCTCTTATTCCGAAGACGAGTGGACGACACCTCTGTAATCACAGCGTAACAGATTGGGCCGACGGTGGAATAGTATACACCCAGCCAGCCAAGCATCAACCCGGCCTGGGCGTAATTACTTCCTGTAGAATTACTGCCAACACTGCAGAAACCGACAATGAGGAGGATAGCAGACAGAAGTCCGAGTCCCCAGAGATACAGCGTACGACGGCCGCAGACGCGCATCAAAAACCAGGCGAAAATGGTTCCCACAGAGGCAATTCCTAGACCACCAACAGACATGCGAAATGAAATAGACTCTGGGAGACCAGCCTGGACGAAGAAGTATGTAGGAGTTCCGCCCATTGCGGAGCCACAAAATGGCTGTGCAGCGAAAGCCATACACGCGATCTCCGTTCGGCGAAGGTCCACACCACGGAAGCAGTCCAGGTACGAAGTTCCATCATCCATAGACTTTTCAATCTCATTGGTGTGAATCATCATTGCCATAGTCTCCTTGGCATGTGCACGCTGTGCGGCAGACCCGAGACGCTTGATCGAGGCCGCGGCTTCCTCGTATCTCCCTGCGCGAACGTAGTGCCACGGCGACTCCGGGGCAAACCAGAGGATTGGAAAGAGAATCACAGGCCACGCCCATTGAATGGCAAAAGGAATTCTGTATGACCATTGACCGGCACGACTGGAGAATCCGGACTGAACACCAGCAGAGATAAGTTGACCAAACGCCCAGCACAAATTGACGTAGACTGTCAAGTATCCACGGAGTGCCAGAGGGCATACTTCAGAAGCATAGGCGGGCGCCATAGTGGCAAAAACACCCCATGGGATACCGCAGAGGAACTGGCCGACCAAAAGAACAGGCAGATTGGGCGAAAAGAAGGATATGAATATAAATGCGGCGATAGCAGATAGAGATGTGAGTAGAACCTTGCGATAACCAAAATTATGCGCAAAATACCCGTTGGCGAAGGCTCCGATGATTGTTCCAATGCTAACTGCATTGCTTAGGCCATTCTGCCAAGGAGCAGTAATCTGATTGGTACCAGTTCCGGGATCATATTCACCATACTTGTCCCGGAAGGACAACTGGGCGAAGAATGACTGAATAAGGACGATATCGTATCCCTCCATGATGATCGAGGTTGAGAGAAGAACTGACCAGAGGACAGCCTTTGGATAGCGACGAACTGCCTCAAAAAATCCCATGTGATGCTCCTGTCTGGTAGCTAGGAGTGCAAGTGAGGTAACATCTTTTGAATTGCCCTCTTCAGAGACATGCTCTTGCTCCGTTGAGGTAGGGTGTATCGCCTCTTTCTCGAGCTTGGTAGCCATGCTTGGTAGATGTAAGACTTGAATGCTCTATGTAGATCATACCTGACTCGAGAAAACCCGGCCTTTATGAAAGGTGGGTTCTTTATTTATGTATAACTTGTAGGACTGAAAGACCATTGGTTAATTGGTGTTCTCTGGGCCTCCGCATGAGCTAGAAAGTGGACATGGTCCAACTCACCTGGCCCGGGGCGCCACCGGAACTTCATCATCCCAGTCTAATAAACCCCTCAAATGTTCCTGTGGGGGTCATAGCTTAGATTTTAGATTCCGGGGAAAATTAACGCCAGCCTATGTCAGACCATTTCGAGGACTAGGGATATCAAAGCCTCGAATATCGGGCATTCAAAGGTTGGTGCTATCACGCGAGCCAAGAGCTTCCTTCTTTCCATCATCTCCATCACCATCTCCGCTTCTTAATCCCTAGATCTCATCCTAGGATTGCTTCATTTTGATATCTTGTCTCTCTGGCATCTGATACATTAAATGACGTCCGACCTCTATGTCCGGAGTGCTGTCAGTACCGAGATCCGATTTCAGTCCCCGACGTCGTAGCCCGACGAGTGATGGTGCTTAGACATTCGATATAAGAATTTTCCACCCCCCCACCCAGGTATTATATCTTCGGGGCTATTTGAACTGCCTTTAAGTAGTTTGATTCCGAGTTTGAGAATTCGCCGTGGCGCATCCTTTCCACAGATGTCCCCAACCCGATGCATCCGAGCCGACATTTTCTCCCCAGTACGAACATATGCCTGTACAATTTCATCATCACAAGGCCGATCTAGCTGAATCACCATAGGCTCGCATTCAATATCACTATCCTCTGTCTCAATTGCCATCTCTTGGAGGGAGGAATGGTCCCCCTGTCGTACAGAGTCATCGGGGACTGCCTGAGACTCTGGAGTGCCAGGCCGCTGAAGGCAGTGGCTTTGCATGATCAGCATTGACACACTATACGCCCATATAACAAGAGTCGCTGTATATACTCCAAATGGCTCCAAAAAGCTGTTGGTGCTGTATCGTCGGACATGCCAAAGCAGAGCACCAGCATGAATTATGCTCAGCCTCGCCTTGTATTGATCACGAATGGCCCACCGGAGAGTATGAGATCGGGCTGTCATATATTCCGCTGAGTTTGAGACTGGAAAATTGCAAGACACCATCGAATACATTGTTAGTGTCTGGATATGCTTCAGCGGAGTTAGAATTATGAGGCGCGCAATGTGAAGATCCAGGATGGTCGAGTGTTCCCAGCCACCAACCCGCGCTGCTATGCTATTAGCATTCCAATGCAAAATATCCAAGCAGTCACAGGCGGCATTTCGCCATTTCGATAGGGATGGCATTTCCGGTGGCCATGTCTCCTGCGGCGAACAAGGGGACAGTCTCGTCTGCTTCTGTGCATTTGGTGACCAGAAAGTGAGTTCGGTTTGGTGTTGTATGCTGGCTTCCCGACTGCGTCGACATATTGCAAAGATCAAAATATTTGTGCCGAGATCACCCAAGTTTGGTGGCAAGGTCTTTTCAATATAAAGCATTTCAAGGGCTTTCATTAATGTCACTGCAAAATAAACCCCAGAGTCAGTGTGCGGAAGACAATAATCTGGACGCACCCACAACAGAGGTGAGGTCTAACCTGACTGATCTTTTATCCCAGGGACAGTTTCCGACCCCAAGCAAAGGTCCCAGAGGTCATCACGACAAGGCAGACGGGCGTTCGTGTCACCTAACTGAATTAAAGGCGCACAATGAAACTCATAGTGGACAATCGAATCGAGCAACTGAAAAGTATAAGCAATAGAAGAAATATCTGCAATGAGGCGAATACAGGACAGACGTACCCATATCATCCAACCGGTTCTGATTCGCGATTCTGATTCGATCCAACTCCCGAGAGAATTATCCTGGTTGGGTTCACCTGCCCCCTGGAGTGGGGCTTTAGCTGCAGCGAGTATATTTAGGGAGTGGAAGGCCTCTATAATGTGATACCTGTGATGAAGAGCACGCTGAACTGCGCTTTGCTTCCCACAATGAAGTAGAAACAGACAGTTCAGTACTGCAGACTGAAGTGCAACGAGATCTAGATGTCTTTGATCCACAGGCCCCGGAACAGGATTCCACAAACCATTGCAATCATCAGCTGGAGGATTACTGATTTGATTGCTTAATTCCCGGTCAATTATATGTACTAGGATTTTTCCGAGGCATCGGTATTTGGCGCTGTTTGCATATCGCGACCCAGTAGCTACAACGGCCAGGAGAAGGATCCAGTCCGAGTCCGAACTGAATAAAGAAGGGCCTTGTAATAGAAATGGATATGTTGGGTGAAATCCATCAAAGTAAAGGCGAACCAGGTCCTCTACATCATCTTGAGTGGGAATTTCCATGTTCAGCCTCAATATATCAGACACATTCACCAGTCTGCGGACGAATGATTGATATTTCCCCGTCGAAACAGACGGCAGGGGTGATATGTTGATATTTTCAGAGCATACCGAGTCTTTCCCGGGTGGTTCGACCATCTTCCGGCCCCCGTTGGAGTAAATCCCCGCTTTCCAGCTTGATCTACCTTTAAAGGGTGCACGGCCGACGCCGCCTTCAATATAGTATGTGCCTTCCGGGGAGCGTGGCGCTGATCTTCTGGCCGTGCCATTTGATAGCTTTGAAGTAGAGGACTTTGTTCCCGGGGGATGTTGTTCGCCTGCCGAATGGAGCGATGACACTGAAATCGAAGCGGTATGAGTATTTTCGACGTTGGGAGCATTGTTGACCGTCTCGAATAACTGATTGCGAGCTCCGTCCGCGTTTTCAACTAGCTCAAATCCGCTGTCGCTGATCCCGGGTAGAAGTAAGCTTTCTAGTTGGCCCTCTGGAAAGAGGTTGTCGGCATCTTGGGGCGATAGCCAGTTCACAGAGGCCATGTTCCCAAGCCATTCGTTTAGATCATTGTCGAGTACATGGGGATCGAATTCCGGTATAACTCCGTTGACTAGTCCGGGACTAGGTTCCGTGAACTCGCCAGAATTTTGTAATGATAGCCACTCCCTATTGTTTTCAGCCGCCAGACTCGATGCTGTCGCATCCAAAGCTTCAATCTGTGGGCCTGGCCCTGAGGGGTTTAAAGTCGATATCGGGCCAGCGAGGGCCATGGATTGCTGATCCTGCTCGAAGCGCAAGCTTGTGCGCCCAGAAGACGACGCGCTTTTCCTTTTGGGTGATGTGTACCCGTGAATCGTATCATCGGTCAGGACTTTTCTTTTTCGCGCCGAGGGATAGACACATGGAACCTGCCTCTGAAAACATCGGCTGCACGGGTTACCGCGTGGGCAGCGGACACGACACGCAGCACATTCCTTGCATGCTCTAGAATTAGCCCTCGTCTGCGAGTTGAATGGCCTAGAACCATGTGATTGATTGTGACGATGGAGGACATCCAGGCGAGAAAAGGACTTTTCGCACTGCAAGCAATGGTATGGCTTCTCCGTCGTGTGGCTGCGAACGTGACGGCGGAGATGTTCTTGTCGAGTGAAAGTTGACTGACAAAGTCCGCATTGAATCAGCCCTATATCGGGTGGGCCGTGGTCTTCTGAATCCATCGCGAGGAATTGGATCTTGTGATATCAACAAGTCAGTCCTTGACTTCACGATGAAGCATGCTTCTGTCCCGCCGCATACGTGCGCTACGCAGAAAGGGAGAGGGGGAGAGAGAATATGTGATTCTTGTTGACGTGAATGACTCGAGTGATGAGTACGGGGTAAAATGTGGGGTATGGAGAAAAACGTGACATTCTTGTGAAGCTAAGACCATAAGGAACATGCAATTTAATCTAATATATTAGTATTCTTTTTCTTATTATTCTTCCCCTCCCTTGTGCTTGTATTTGATTTTACTAGTACTTAATTTTTGCAAGGGTCAATAACGCAATTAGCTAAGCTTCAATCAGGCCACTCTACCTGCAAGTCTATCCTGAAAAGTGCAAGGCCAAGACCCAAGCACTTGGAAATTGATGGTACTAACTAGTAGAAGGCAATTTGCTACTTATCCAAGTTCATCCACGCCAAATTCTCCGGTGGTGCTTAACCCCCGGTGGGGGGCTCAATTCCGGCGGGGGGTGATGCTCGTGACTTGGGACCCCTCAAAAAAGCCAAGCAGTATCAGAGAATTTCAGAGTATCTATTTTATGGAAGCTGTTCAAATAAACAGAAATCATTGTCCCAATACTGCCTCTTTCTTACCCCTCCAATTTTTCCGTCTTTCGACAAATTCTTCCCTTGGCATTTCACACTATGCTCGAACACAAAGAAGGCAAATTGATTTATACTTTCGATGCCGAGACGCTATGGATCGAATCATGGGGACCTAATGCTGTTCGAATCCGGTCAACTCGGGCACCCCAAATTCCTGATCAGAATTGGGCTCTACTTGACCCCGGTGCAAATCAAGCCACAATCACCATTCAGCCCGATGGCGAGGGGTTGCTACAGAATGGCAAGCTCCGAGCCAGCATCTCGAGAGCTGGAAAAATCCAGGTCCATGATTCCAAGGGGAACCTTCTTTTGCAGGAATACACCCGGAATCGCAAGGATGTCAGGGACCCCAAGTGCAGCGCTATCAAAGTGGAGGGTCGAGAATTCAAAGCAATCGCAAACACTGAGAGCTATCAGCTCACAGCTCGATTCGAGAGCGTTGACCCGGATGAGATGCTGTTCGGCATGGGCCAGTATCAGCAACCATTCCATGACCTCAAGGGACATGAGCTCGAGCTGGCGCATCGCAATTCACAGGCCAGTGTGCCTTTCCTAGTTTCTTCTCTGGGATATGGATTGCTTTGGAACAATCCTTCTATCGGGAAGTCATTTTTAGGACGCAATATCATGTCTTTTGAGGCGCGTTCCACCACTGTTTTGGATTACTGGGTGGTTGCGGGAGACACGCCTGCTGAAATAATCGAGAGCTATACCGCAGCTGTCGGCAGGGTGCCAATGATGCCAGAGTTTGGTCTGGGATTTTGGCAGTGCAAGCTGCGTTATCAGACACAGGATGAACTTCTTGAGGTTGCCCGAGAATATAAGCGTCGGCAATTACCTATTGACCTGATTGTTATCGACTTTTTCCATTGGCCGCTACAAGGTGACTGGCGATTCGATCCCACCTACTGGCCCAACCCAGCTGCAATGGTTGAAGAGCTCAAGAGTATGGAAATTGAGCTCATGGTCAGTGTTTGGCCTACCGTCGATAAACGAAGCGAGAACTATCGCGAGATGGTCGAAAAGGGATTTCTAATTCGGACCGATCGAGGAGTCCGTACTGCCATGGACTTCCAGGGGGATACCATACATTTCGATGCAACACATTCAGGTGCTAGGGCCTACGTTTGGGGAAAATGCAAAAATAACTACTATGACATCGGTATCCGTGTTTTCTGGCTTGATGAAGCGGAGCCAGAGTACAAAGCCTACGATTTTGACAATTTCCGATATCACAAAGGACCTAATACTGCCATCGGAAATATCTATCCTCTGGACTATGCCAAGGCCTTCTACGACGGTATGGAACAAGAGGGCCAAGAGAATATTGTCAATCTAGTCCGATGTGCGTGGGCAGGCAGTCAGAGATATGGCGCCCTGGTCTGGAGTGGAGATATCGCCTCTTCATGGGACAGTCTTCGGAATCAACTCTCTGCTGGGCTGCATATGGGAATGTGTGGAATTGCATGGTGGACTACTGACATCGGTGGGTTCCATGGAGGAGATCCATCGGATGGGAAATTCAGAGAACTTTTTGTTCGATGGTTCCAATGGGGTGCATTTTGTCCAGTCATGCGTCTTCATGGAGATCGTGAGCCCAGGCAGCCCGTCAAAGGCACAACGGGCGGGGCATCATGTGCCAGTGGTGCAGACAATGAAGTATGGTCATACGGGCCCGAGGTGTACGAGATCTGCAAAAAGTATATGCTGCAGAGGGAGCACCTGCGTGACTATACTCGCAATCTCATGGAGGAAGCTCATCTGAAAGGATCTCCGATTATGCGCACGCTCTTTTACCAATTCCCAAGAGACCCAGACTGTTGGAAGATTGGCACTCAGTACATGTACGGAGACAGATTTCTTTGCTGCCCTGTTCTTCATGAGGGTGACCGTACCATCAAGGTATATTTACCAAAACTGAATGGTGATAAATGGATTCCCTTTAAGAGTGGAGCAGAAAATCCGACCAGATACGATGGAGGGCAGTGGATTGAGATTCAGGCGCCTCTCGACTGGATGCCAGTATTCGAACGAGGAGCCTTTTAGCATATCGGCCATAGTATCTGTCAATAGTAATTTTTCAATCTATATAGAGATTATTGTAGACTTGAATACATCTTGCTTGGGCTTCCTGAATTCAAGGATGCATTTTTTCATGCTATAGAAGACGGGCAGCTTGTTACTGGGTCCGTATACGTCAATCAGCCCCTATAAGCTAGCTTCGACCCCAATTCAATAAGTTTTGTTGCCCCGATTGCAATTTAGCTATGTTAACCACCGTTGAGAAATTGCCCAGTTGAAATAGTACAGTTTAACAAAGTTTATTGCTCTACGTTGGTGTAATTTACAAGGTTTTGAGGGGCTGCAAAATAGCAGTCTAAGATAACTTCTACTAGGCATGCAATCAACCCATGCATTGGAAACCGCTTCTTTTAACTTTCAAGTTGGCCTCTCTAACTGTGATATAATTTAAAACAATCAGAAATCCTGCTGAGTCCATGTTGATTTAAGTGTGGGCTTGATATCACTGGTTTGAACTTGCTTTTAGGCTCTTGCAGAGTCCGAAATCATTACTTAATATTGTGATTGCGGCAGAAAAATGTACAATTTCTGGAACACTTGCTAGAGCAAAACTTCATTCCCACTATCTTAATAGCTCACATCTTCCCATAATCTCAAAACTCGCCCGAGGACTTGTTTCTTTCCATCTCTTCGAGAGGCCCGTATCACCATCCCTTTACTCGCATTGATTCTAGCATTTCCCATCTCGAGAGAATTCAAAAGCAAATGCAGTCGAGTTGGTCGGGGGATTGACGGTAAGCGTAATCTTATTTGAAGGAGACATGTTAGTTAACGTCTGGCTCTATATGCATTTCGGCAAGATATGTCCATCGAACCCTGAAGGAATGAGAAAACGAACCTGGTCTGAGACAATCGAATACTTAGAGCACCCCAAGTCCACCGGACTTTTCACATCTGCAAATTGACCATTCCAGTCAAAGCGGTATGTGCGAATGCCAATTTTACCGTCACGGGGAAGTCCAAGAGCCGATAGCTTACCCACACTAACATCGTATGGGGCTTGAATGGTCCGCGTTCCGGCTAATATTTTCACATGACGATCTGAGATTGTTGAAAATACATCGAAGAGTAGATCGTCCGACGCACTTGTTGCGAGTCGGTCTCCCGTCATACTCGCGTAGTATTTGTATAGATGCCATTCTCCATTTGGATGATACTCGCCAGCATCATTTTTGTAGACCAAGTTAGCAAGATAATCATGTAGACCACCGCCAGATCCCCAATTAGCGCGAAGGCCACGGACGTTGTGTCTTTCGAGCTGGGAGAGGTAGTAAACTGATGTGGAAGGGTTTTGCTCGTCGGTCCATGCGTACTCGTTCAAGTCGATAGGTTTCTTGGGTAAATTATATGAAGAGCGCAGAGTATCAAAGTCTGGTACGGTTGTGTCCGGTTGACGCTCCCACGAGCCAATCTGATGCCAAGAGTAGCGGTCGGGTAGGCTTTTGTTGCCAGCAACGACATCCATCCACGTATTCCATTTTTCATTATCGAGGCTGGGGGCATGCGCGAACGAGGGACCGCTAATGAGGGTATCGGGGAAGTATTTTCTGAAGATGTATTGAAGATTAGATTAAGGCCGGTATCAATTGTATGAAAACATAACAGGCAGAGAATCTATACCTGACCAAAGCCGTTGCATGCACATAGTAGTCGAGGTACTGCTCCCACGAACGTTTCCAGAAAATTTCCAACTCTGGCTCATTCCAGATATCAATGACAAGCCCGTCTAGCATATCATTCTCATTGATATCCTTCTTCAACTGGGCCAAGAATTTCTCGAACTCTGAATAATTCCCGTTGTCACCGGGCACAAGAGCACTATCGGACGATGAACCATCCGCTCCCCAAAGATCGTGAATCAATAAAATGAAGTCCCCATTGAACTTCCGAGTCGAACGATAGTTGGATAAGGTGGATTTAAATCGCCCAATATACTGGTCATACCCACCAGCACCCCAACCGGTAAACACTGTTTGTGCACCACCAGCACGGCAGGCATTGAACTTGATATCTGTGAGGAAATGATCGGGAATAACAGTCTGCGCCTCTTCACCATTGTCGGGAAATCCATATATGAAATTTGACCCAAGAAATTTTGCTGGGCCGGTCTTCTTAGACACATCAACTGTGGCTTTTCCATTGGAGTCTCGGGGGGTAATACGCGAAGGGCTCGCCGCAATGAGCTTCACGGCGGCGGCTATCGCTAGAAAAGTGGTGAACTTCATCATTATAGATACTGTGGAATTGCTTTTCTGGTAATCATACACATCGATAGTTTCTCCGAAAGTCCTCCTTTTATACTAATACGAGATGAAGCCCTTTCCATATTATTTTCACTTCACAATGCACTTGAGACTAAAACGCCACCGGGAGTTATCACATCTCCGGTGGCGGGTGAAGAATCTCTGTAGGGGTGAAAAGCCATTTGCGGGGAAGTTCAAGAGAGCTCCGCTTAGCCATAAGCTGGCTAGTAGTTCGTGCTCCAGCAATATATATATTACTGTGACACGGCGTTCCGCATCCCGATGGTCGAGACGGCCTCGTGGGATATTGGACCACCACCCCACACGGCTTCATAGTGGATACATCCCGGTGGTTGAAGCAGCCCTGGAAATAGGGGACCCCCACAGGGCTCCTCTAGTGAGTGGATACAACCAGCCACCTGATAGTTATTTGCCGGCACATACGAGTACAAGTAACGTCTAACGGCTTCTCGCCCCTAGATTATTTTATGAGGACAGTAACCGTGGGAGCTGTTCCCACATTTCCTGGCAGGGAAATCCAAGGGTACGACGGGTAAATGCAAGGGCTGGTGATGTCACTACATGTATGTAGTATATGCCAAGCATAATTTCTCATCTATTTTAGGCAAATTGGAAACATACGATGAAACACCAATTTTTTTTTGTTGACAGGATGCTTGTTCCAGGATGTCTTGGTCCCCATAATTGACTGATCGGATTGCTTCGAGACTTCATCTGCTATTCCATTTCACTCAATCCATTAGTCTGGCCATAAGACAGCTTTTGGCGTTTCTTTTTGCTGTTCAATATTCAGGCTGTTGCCAAGGGATCGACATGAAGCTAATAGAGATGAAACCTGGCCCTCCCCGACAACTTTCCTAGAAAGGCAAACTTCCGATGGAGATAATACTTTCCTATAGGATGCCGGTAGAAGGGAGTCGGCAAGAAATGAGACGCCGGGTAAAGAATATGAATATATTAGTTCTACTAGTAGGTTATACGTTGATCGATCTTGGCGTACATCTGCGAAACAACCAGCTCCACTTGTTAGTGGACATGTACGGAGTACTATCCCTTTTCTGTTCTGCTAGTCAACCATCTCGAGGTAACCTTCTCGGGGCTCTCCTCAATGGGATTGGGCTAAAACAAAATATAAATATCTATATGCACCCTTGATCTTTACAAACTTTGGAACCGGCCTTCTCTTCTATATCATACCTGGTTATCCAACCTTCGAAAGGGTTCCCTCTTCCTAATTTCCGATATTAGGTGACCCAATGTCAATCATGCGATTCTCAGGAGGGGCAGGCCTATGGTCCTACATCCTAGCGCTGATTTGTACATCAATCTATACCGTTGCGGCAGACTGTGATTTGCCCTCAGCCTACAGTTGGACATCGACAGATGCCTTAGCAGAGCCTAAATCAGGATGGGCCTCGCTAAAGGACTTCACCAACGTAGTCCAGAACAACCAGCATCTCGTATATGCCTCATTTGCCGATGACTCCGGCAACTATGGCTCTATGGACTTCGGTCTCTTCTCCGACTGGACAGATATGAAATCGGCAAGTCAGAACGATATGAGCTTCTCAGCTGTGGCACCCACGCTGTTTTACTTCGAGCCAAAGAGTATTTGGGTTCTCGCATACCAGTGGGGCGCGACCGCGTTCTCATATAGAACGTCAACAGATCCATCCAGCGGAACTGGATGGTCATCTGAGGAAGAGCTATTCTCTGGTACAATTTCGGACTCTGATACTGGACCAATCGACCAAACTCTTATTGGCGATTCTCAGAATATGTACCTTTTCTTTGCCGGGGATAATGGCAAGATCTACAGATCCAGTATGGCTATCGATAACTTCCCAGGCTCATTTGGTACATCATCGGAGATTATTCTGAGCGGAACCACCAATGAGTTATTCGAAGCCGTACAGGTCTACACTGTGAGCGGCCAGAACAAATACCTTATGATTGTCGAGGCCATTGGGTCCAATGGACGATATTTCCGTTCCTTCACAGCCGACAGCCTAGGCGGGTCATGGACAGTGCAAGCAGGAACCGAAAGCCAGCCCTTTGCTGGAAAAGCTAATAGTGGCGCTACTTGGACAAATGATATCAGCCATGGAGATCTGGTTCGCAACAACCCCGACCAAACGATGACCATCGACCCCTGCAATCTGGAATTACTTTACCAAGGACGAGACCCGAATGGTGGCGGCGATTACAATGCTTTGCCATACCGACCTGGTCTTCTGACTCTGAATCAATAAGGAGTTTTTACTGCCAACAAATATATGAGGTTTCGTGAATAGCTTGCGACTGTCCTATGTGCAACGAATAAAAACATTCTGTATCCTGTAATCATTTTCTTTATAATAGTAGGGAATTGAAGGATAGAGGGGAAGTCCTAGGAACGAAAGCCTGCGTGTTTAGTAGCTTCCAATGGCGCCTATGGGTTCAAACAAGTCGACGTTATCGTATAACATCAAATACAATGATTCAAGGTCTGAGCCCAGCTTCATCTTGAATTTAGAATCAGAGAACTTGGTTAGAATTTGACTGAGTACCAACGAAGTAGTATATCCTCGCCAATAACTATTGTGCGGGGAATGACACGTGACCGGCGATAAGGAAGGCGCGCGTTGATAAGAGTTGATGCCGCTGGGCGCGTGCAGTCGCGGGCTTCTCATTCCAGGAACCACACAACACATTGGGCCATGAGGCGTGCTGAATGAGACCCAAGCGATGGACTCGACCCGAACAATTTACGAGTTGAAATCGACATTCATTCGGAGCCAAATCCGCATTCTTTCCGAGAGCCTTGAGCTGCCGGAAGATTGGCAACAATATGCAGTGGAGACCGAGGAGGGCCAGTTGAGCGCGAAGGCGATTGAAGATGTGCTGCATAAAGGTACGGCCACTTACACTCTCACATTTGCTTGCTAGCTCGGTGTTGGATAGAAACACTTGAATATTTGGAGGTGATCCAATACTAACCTATCAATAGTAAATGCGGCTGCTAAGCAACATCATCGAGTTGTCTACACATCACAAGCGATTCACCATGTGGCCAGTCAGATTGCCAGCCTCTACTGGTCCACTATTAGCCAGGAGGCGCAAACACAAGCAGCTTTTGCAAAGGGCGTGGGACAATTGACGGACTTGTCCAAACAATGGTACGAAGCATATACCCTTGTTATAAGTTGTAGGAGACTGACCGAGATGACTCCAGGAATATTACCAAATTACCCTTGGAATTAGAAGCCCCTGGCGTGACTGAAGAACAAAATACAAGGTCAGGCCTCGAAACATCTCCCATCGCTCCCCTGATTGAGATTCAAGTTCCGCCTGCCTAACAACCTTTGTGGTACAGATACCAGGACCTTCGGAAGCGACTCACCAGCCTTGACGAACAGCGTCAGAAAAGACAACGTCGTCGTGATCAATTACAACATCTTCGACGTCTCCTCGAGCCATTTGAAGAACCACCCAGAGATATTCAACCAAACCTGGTCAACCGGGATGGAGATCTGATTAGGGAATTGGAGAAAATGCGAATGCTTGTGGCGAGGGTGGGAGGGAGAATAGCACAACAGAAGAATCGCGGGAATGTCCCGGAAAATGAGGGAGGTGAATATTTGCTCCCTGGATCAGATCAGAGGCTGGAAGCCCTGCTGGACACGAGCGAATGAACTTTGACGACATAACTTCCATAATTTACAAACTCTGCACACTTTACATGGCTTTGCAAGACCCCTGTCCATGTGGCATAGTCGTTGAACCCTACCAGTAACACTGTGGCCCTGTAAGTCTGTGGTCCTGCAGTGCCGATCCGAGGAAGAAAAGAAGAAGTGTATTACTATGCATGCATGGTAGATGCTGGTAAAGTAAACTTGTCAGACTGTTCCAGTGTACATATTCTAGCCTATTATCTTCTGCTCCACGTATGATTGTGCTCCAATATTATTTTTATGACAGCTAATGAGGGAGGTGTTTTCAAGTACTTAGTAGTAAGTTCTTCGTACACGGGCGGTACCCTTTGAGGCTCCAAACCCAACCACCATAGATAAGGCAGAATCTGCTACCCGGGGCTCATATAGGGACCCTAGTAGGAGCCTAGGTAGATCCTAGGCAAGCACGACCCTAATCAGGGGAGAAAGAAAAAGAGAGTTCGCTGGTTCCTGTCTTCTCCGTCATCCATTACACTTACACCCGCCCTGGGTTGGAAAACCGGAAGGCGCGGTGGAATATATAGCTTGCATCAAACTAGACTTCAACATCACACCCGTCGCGATGAGTCCACTTGACAGGATGAAGCGTCTAGCTGGGTTGGAACAGCGGGGAGTGAGGCATGATGGTGGGGGAAGTTCCTCCAACTCGAGTGTGAGTAGTACGGCGAGTGGCAGCGCCAGCGCCAGCGCCAACCGGAGTGAAAGAACCGCTAACCCGATTGGGTCTGGGGCGATTCCCCTTCACTCCGGCGAGGCCCAACCAGCATCAAACCCCAACAACGAGGATCAAGTGCTCGATACCGATTCCCATCTTCTCGATAGCGCCGCCATCATCGAGGGTGACGGCTCTTCCTCCCCTTCCAAGGCACCCTACGCGCGTGGGCATCGCCGTCGTTCCACCCACGTTACTCGCCGTGACCTTGAGAAGTTTCAAAAGGAGGTCTTAGGTGTGGAAAACCACGCCTCCTTCTACGACGAGGAGAACGGCACCTCGCGCCCCATTACCCCTAACGACCCGCAACTCGACGAACTCAACCGTGCCTTTACCGTCGCCGACATGTCGATGAACAACCCTGCGGGAATGACGGCCAACGGCTCCGCCTCGGGCATGTTCTCCGGCTACGCAGACAGCTCCCAGAGTAACCCCAACATGGGCAGTGCCCCTCGCCAGTCAATGTCGCCCGCGCTCTCTCATCCTGCTGCGCAAGTGAATGGAGGTGGCATGGGATCCTTCGCACCCGGCATGCCTATGAACGCGGGGCACCAGATGGATCTTCATCATCTGTATGACATGGTCTTGGAACTGAGTGATGTGTTGAAGAACAACCGGGAGGTGACGAAGAATATTGTCTCGAGTGCTGAGGATATCATGGTATGTGGATGCACCGCGAGCAAACGCCGGGGAGAATTAGAAGCTGACAAATGTGATAGAAACATGGCTCTTCGGACGATGCCAGCCCAGCCTTGCAGCGAGTCAATGGTGAAATATCAGGTATGTCTTGTCCTTTCAATCTTGTCTTCCTTCCTTTCTCTTCTTGTGACCCAGATTGCTGATTCCTCGCCTCGTGATAGCGGCCCGAATTTCAGAACTCGAACGCGCTCTCGCCAAGGAGAAACGACAGACCGAGGAACTCAAACGCGAACAAGTAGAGAATGCCAAGCTCATTGGGGAATATGAGGGCAACGTGGGCACGATGGTCGAACAAATCCGCACTTACTGCCAAAACAACAACATGCATTTCCTTCACCAGAAGAACCACTACAACCAACTCCTCCAAGCTGAGCGTGATGCTCATTTGGACAGTCGACTGGACCGTGATTACTGGCATACACAAACAATGAAATGTGCGGAGATGATCCGTACCGCTCACCGAATTCGATCCGATGAGGAGGCCATCCCCGTCCGCATCATTGCCGGCCTGCAGAACGAGGTTCGGGCATACCGCAATGCGCTGGGGATGGAGCCCGAACAACCCGAGGATGAGTATGGCTGGGAAATCCTCAAGGACGTTCCCAGTGCGGACTGAGTTTGGAATGGGACCATGGACTTTCACGGCGTGATGACATGATTCTAAGGATCTCTCTCTCTATTTTCCCTTTCTCTGTTTCACTGGATGAGCGGGGTTTTGTGATGCATAATATTCGACGGCGTTGTTTTGTTTTTACCTTTTTGCACTTCCTTACCTCCGGTTCTACTCGGGAGGCGTTTATGGTGGGGGTCTATTGTATTCTTTTCCTTCTTTTTTGGTCACCGGTTGCAGATACCCGGAACCGGCTGTGTTACCTTATAGTGGACACACCGATCATCATACATATTGAATCAGCATAAAATATACCAGTAAATGGTTTCAGTCAGATTACCATTTCCCTCGATAGGAGTACGAGTACAGAGTGGTTTAAATGTGTCCAGAGTTGGTGAGCACCCAGAATGGATAGTGGATGATGACTACCTCAGGTAAGAGAGACTAGTGACCAGTCGCTCCAAAAAACCCCAAAAATGGCCCCGTTTAACGGAGTTCCAATCAGCGTCCCCGGAATGACCAGTAATAAATGCTGGTGACACCCTCAGAGTGGACTCGGTGGACTCGGTGGACTCAGTGGACCCCTTCAGGACTCCTTTGATGTACATCGTATCGTTTTCTCTTATGGGTGTAGTATCTCGTGTGTCTCTGCCGTATTATGTCATGGCCAATGCTTAATCCTCCACATCCCCGTTACTGCCCATCTTCTTCCCCGGAAGGATTTCTCATCCTTGATTCTACATACTCCGTACTGTATTTCCATTTGCCCCCCCAACCTGCTTACACCATGCAATTCACCCAACCATTCATGGCGACTTATCCACCTTGCCACCTTTAAGGTCGTGCTTGTGCTCCACCCTCTCCACGGAACAACGTATCAGCCCCGGTCGCAGAGCCGAGCTGAACTCCTGATCGTCACCGTATCCGCCATCTTGGTCTACGAGTACAGTACTACACTATTTCGACTGGGAATTGACCCTTGCGAAATAACCGACCGTTTGTTATTTACCTAAATCAACTTGTGTGGGAAGTGGGGGATCAGCCAATTATGCGTCATCCAATCTAGGCCTTATCCAGTCATTCGACCTACATTCCGCGCCACAGAGCGGCACATCTTTTGATCAGCCCGTCCACCCTGCTCTTTTTCTCCCCCTCTCTCCCCCTCCTCGCCGCCATTTGGTCTGGGAAGTCCAAGTGAGGACAATCTAACATGGAGAGTGTTCAAACTGTGGATGTGAGCTGGCTCCATCACTCACAGAAAGGCAAGTCCTTTGCCCCAGCGCCTTTTACCCCAAGCCCCGTCTTTCGGAACCGACAGCGGAACTTCCTGCAACTTACTGCCGAGGGCCAGTGTGAAGCTATCATCTGACCGGTCCTTCTTTTCAGATCATCTTTCCCGTACGAAATCTGTATCGTCGGCCTTGAGCGACAAGACTGCCACCGAAAAGGAGACGCCCGCCACATCATCCAAACCACACCGAAGATCACGATCAAACAGTAGCCCAGCACGCCCACCGTCCTCAGGAAACTCCGTGCCGAAGAAAGATACTGAGAATGTTGTCGCGAAGCCAGAGGAGAAGGAAAAGCCACTGCCACCATCAGTGCCGGAGAAAACTGCCGAACCGAAACTACCGGCTACCCCATCCCCAGCATCGCAGAGAAGTGCTCCGAAACCAGTCGGCGGACGGCGAAATTCATGGATCTCTAGTCTGAGCTCAAAGTTCTCTTCTGGGTCAACCCCACCATCTCAGTCAAGTCTCAAGGGCTCACCGGCGAGCCCCAAAACCACCACCTCTCCCCTCGATGCGCACAATCCATTTGGGGCAGCATACTCGCCAAAGGACAAGGAGGACGAGAAGAAGGACGAGCAAAGTCCCTTCACCTCATCGTCACCCAAAGGCCCCTCATTCCTTCACAATGCTTTGCGCAAGTTTTCATCTAACTCGGGTGGACTGCCCAAGTTGCCACCCAACGGGGTGTGTTGCCCTCGCCGAGTGATGAATTTGGATCCAAACCGAGAGCGCTGCAAGATTTCCGAGTTGAACCAATCTAAACTGAACCGAGTCGCATTTTGTGTAGACGTGGAGATTGCGGGTATCTCTCATCGAGACACCGATGAAGATGCTCCCCCCACTAACCAGCTACGCCAACCCCTCCCCGAGTCGCACCGCCAAAAGGCTAAGAAGGCCGAGGCGGCCAAGGAGCAAGGCAAACAGGAAGCTGAAGCACCAAAAGAGCCCCAATCCGCAGTAGTTGAGAAAGATACCCCGGCTCCGGCTCTGGCTCAGGATTTTGCATCTGCTCAGGGCACATCGCCATCGCCATCTCCACCTACCGAAGCAAGCAGCCCACCAAATGCGGAGCCCGTCCCCTCCGAGCCCAACAATTCTAGCACAACACCCGCTACAGATGCGAAGCCCAACGGCGAAGGCAAAGATCCGTCAAGGAAAGCAGAGAAGAAGAAACGATCGGAGGAGGAACGGAAGGAACGAAAAGAACGCAAACGGAGACAAGCCGTTGCTAATGGCTCAATACCCTTGCAACTCTCCGCCGACACGGAAGATGACGAAACTCGACCACCAGCAAACGCCACAAGCCGCCCCAAGACTCAAAGCCATCCTACAACAGATCCAGTTCGGATCTACCGCCGATGTTGTCAACTACGAGAAACACCGGTTCTCAAAAGAGTGGTTGATGAGATTTCCTCTCCTTCGTCGACTCTCGCCGAATCTCCCGGAACTGTCGCGGCTCTCGACCTCAGTAATTTCCCTATGACAACGCAAGATATTGCAACATTCAGTGATTGGCTTGCGATCGTTCCCGTTCGAAAACTTCTTCTCGAAAATTGTTCATTGAATGATGAATCTATTCGAGCTATTCTGGCAGCTTTGCTTGCCACGAAGACAGTTGAACAAATGCGGTCTCGGCGAAGACGCGCTAGGAGAGCGGATTCGCCGCCCGTGAAGGGCGAACGATGGGGTGTTGTGGAGAAACTGTCACTCAAGGGCAATACCAAGATCGGCCGCGAGGGATGGCGCCATATTGGATTGTTTGTTCATTTGTCCAGATCTTTGAAGGCAATCGATATTTCTGGAATTCCATTCCCCAAATGCCAGGTCCCATCACCGGATGGGTCATCCCAGCCGTTGACCAAGCCCGATGTCTGCAATGTCTTCGCGGACGCTCTTGCTGAACGTTTCAGTGGCGACCATCTTGAAGAGCTTCTGATGAGTGAATGCAAGCCTTCTAGCGAGCAGGTCAAGAGGATATGTGAGGCCGCTACGAAAATGGGGCTGCGCCGACTAGGTCTTGCGAACAACGGCCTAACGAGAGAGAGTCTGGGACATGTAATCGAGTATCTCAAGTTTGGCCAATGCGAAGGTCTAGACCTGGGAGGAAATATCATTAAGGATGATATCGATATTCTCACAGAGGCCATCGAACCCGAGCTGCCACTCTATGCGCTCAGTCTTGCGGACTGCTCCTTGAACCCATCGGTGATCTGTCCGCTGCTTCAGGCCCTCACCCGGCTTCATAACTTACGCTTCATCGACTTTTCCCACAACCGAGATTTGTTCTCGGTCCAACCGAGCTCTATCGGTGCATTCCGACGTTTCCTCCCCAAGATGCCTTCTCTGAAGCGGATCCATCTGGCTGATGTAGCCCTCACTTCGGATAACGTTATTGGCCTTGCCGAGATTCTCCCCGAATGCCCAAGTCTCTGCCACTTAAGTATCCTGGAGAATCCTCAGATTGTCTCTTTGGCTTCTGGTACAGATCCCGAGGTCCAAGAGGAAGCATGCGCAGTGTATGCTTCGATGCTCGCCGCTGTCCGCGTGTCGCAGACAATCATTGCCGTTGATATCGAGATTCCGACCGCGGAGAACAACGAAGTTGTGAAGGCTCTGGCCTCCCAGATTGTCGCCTATCTCTGCGGAACCTTGAGGGCGGTGCCATCGCCGAAGAACTGTCTGAGACGATCTCTTCCACTCAATCCAGAGATGTGCCGGTGCCAGAGATCCTGCAACACATTGTGGGACATGCGGGCTTCCCCGGCACAGAGGAAATTGTCGGCGGTGACGAAGAAGACGAACCAGCTCCCGATGAAGACTATGTTATTGGTGGTACTGGTGTCGTCAAGGCCCTGGGTGTCTGTCTTGGTAATTTGGACCAGCAGGCCGGTGAAATTGGCGGTGACCTATCTCTGCCTCCGAGTGGCACGACCACCCTGAGACGCCGCAAGTCTCGAAGCGTTGTCACCAAGAGACCCCGTGATATGTCGAAGAATCTGTTGGAGTCAGCACGTAACATTCGCACTCGTATCCAGTCAGCCCTTGTCCGCGAGGACCGAGCTGGTAACGATGCTAACTATAGTGAGCTTCCCTGTTTCACCAAGATGTCAAAATCGCACCTGCTAACCCTGCGCTAGGACGCCTTCAATTCTTGGACTTCACCTTGCATAAGATGATCCAGCGCTTCGAGGATGAATATCCCGAAACCCGTCTCCCCCAAGCAGCACCTACCTCGGTTGCGCCCGACACCGGCTCTCAACATTCGAGCGAGGACGCCAATGGCCCCGGTGCCCTCAGTAGCAATCTGACCAGCAGCATGATCGAAAATGAAAATGCTGTCGACGATGAGGAAACCGACCAATACGCCATCCATCTATCTCGCACTAGCTCAATGACCTCCCTGCACGCTCGCGCCATGACCTCAGAAGAAGGCCACGTCCATCGTCTCGGCCAAAATCTCCGCCGTGATTTCCTAAACCCATCTTTGGGCGAGGGCGAGGTTGACGAAGATGACCAGTCCCATCTCGTCGCTCTCAGGGAGAAGCTGGAGCGTCTTCACGAACAGCAATCCCAGTCGCCCTTCGACAGCGCCCAGGCCGAAGAAGCCTTTGAGAAACTCGGCAACACGGTCGATGAGCTCTGGGCAGCCCAACGACAAGATGCTGAGGGTTTCGAGAAATTCAAGCAATCGCAGATCGCAGCTCAGATTAATAGCGGTCTTCGAATGGCTTTATCCGGTGCTGGCGATCCGGCAGCTGACAAGGAGGGTCAGACCTCTGAAAGCAAGTCGCCTTCTTCGTCTTAACTTTTGACTCTCCGTTTGGTCCCTGGTCTCGATCCCGGACTATCTTACTATTATTATACATTCATTATCATCTGATGTTTTGTGTCTTTCGGGCGCACGCAACTGATGTACCCGCACATACCTCTTGATGTTTTTTTTTTCTTTGGCTTTACCTCCTTCCCCCTTCGGTACTGCTATCCGACCATGTTTCACAGCGTTCATCATCAATCTGTATATATTTTTCTCTTTGAACTGTGATCGTCTATTTCACGATGTATTTGAATGATGTATCCTTCTGATGGGTTATGTATTCCCTATGACTTGTATCCTTGTTCCGATATCGGTAGTCTATCTTACTACCACGAAGTTGATTTTGCATTTTACCATGAATAATCTAGCGGTGACACTTCTAGCAAATACCTCATTTGATAAAATGAACAACGCTCGCTTGGTTTATGAATCGCACTTACTTCCAAAGCAAAGACTGGAGTTGATGCCGGCTCGGGCCCATCTTTTTCCATGTCCGCTCAGGAACTTGCCAGTTGGTGAAAGGGAGCTGCGGAGCCGATGATGGAACTGGTTTAAAGTCCCTTGTTAGGCAAAGTAAATACAGCATTTCGGTAATAATTAATGCATTCAAAAGTATATATTATTTGATTGCTAATCCAAGAATATACCATAGAGTTAGCCCGTTGAAGTTACCCCCGAGTGGCATTCCCTCGGCCTCCAACCGTTTTTGGACCTCGGCAATTGGCGATCGCCTTGAAGGGACATTTACACCTCCGCAAAGTCTCATACACATCTATCTACACGCCATTCCCTGCATCATCCCATTCACCTACTCGATAACGCTTCAAGCTCTTTAAGTACATTAGATCATGGCAGAGAACAAGCGGCCGATCGGCCTTCTCTTCGACATTGGCGGCGTTTGTGTAAGTCACCAGTGCCAACACCGCCGTACTACCTGCCATTATTACGAGAAATATATATTGACTCCAAGCACAGGTTGTGTCTCCGTTCCAAGCTATTCTGGACTACGAGATCTCTCAAAACATCCCACCAGGATGGGTGAACTTCAGCATCTCACGAACATCACCCAACGGTGCCTGGCACAAGATCGAACGAGGCGAGATCAAGATGGACGCCGAGTTCTTCGCTGCATTCAACCGAGATCTCCGGCACCCGACGCTCTGGAAGCAATTCCACGAGCAAGAGCAGAAAAAGAAAGGGGTCAGCGGAAGCCCGTCTACTACTATTCCCCCTCTGCCCGAAGTGGATGCAGAATGGCTCTTCTGGGAGATGATGAGGGTGTCCCGAACACCGGATCCATATATGTTCCCCGCTTTGAAGCGATTGAAGGCATCGGGGAAATTCTTGATGGGTGCTCTTTCGAATACAGTCAAGTTCCCGGATGGTCATGCGTATAATACGGATGAGACGGGAGTACGGTCGCAGTTTGACTTTTTCATTTCATCGGCGCATACTGGGCTTCGTAAGCCTGATGCTAGAATCTATGAGGCTGCGATTCGGGAAATGGATGGGTTGGCTAAGAAGCGTGGTCTGTCCGGGGCGGAGGCTTCTGATATCGTCTTCTTTGATGATATTGGTGAGAATTTGAAGGCGGGGAAGCGATCTGGACTGCGGACTGTGAAGGTTACTCTTGGGAAAACACTGGACACTGTCAAAGAACTGGAGCGGATCACTGGTCTTCAATTGTTGGAGAGTGAGGATAAGGCGCGGCTATAGGTGGGGGAGAGGGGAGAGGGGAGAGGGGTACTAGGAAGGGTAGACTTGATTTATTAGAGATGTATAGAGAAGAACATGAGAACAGCAGACTGTGATTATCTACTATCATATTGGATTTAATCAATCAATCACACTGAATACTGTCTATACTGTCTATAAACACTGTAGTAGACATGACTGCAAGTGGGGCTGTCGTGGCCAACCCGCCAACCCGCCAACCCGTCGTCGCCAACCGCACTTTTCAGTGGGATGCAAGTCCCGCTAAGCGAATTCCCCCACAAAGACTCGCCGCACACAACTTTTCTTTGTTCCTTTTTTCCATCCGTCGACCATCAGCACCCCGACTACCGCCAAAATGGTGAGTGTGATTCTCGAGGATTGAGATACCTTCTCAGTCTTCGATTCAATTTTTTCTCCTGCTCTCCAATCATGATCGGAGCCGGGTCCTTGCAAGATGCTTCGGACGAAATTCTGAAGCGCTAATTGCTGACTCGCGATATTTTCTTACAGCCTTTCACCAAGACTGTCAAGAACAACGCCTACTTCAGGTAAGTAAAAAAAAAATCCAGAAAAAGTGAAGAAAATTTCGTGCGACCGTATACTAACCTCCCTCAAGTCGTTACCAGACTAAGTATCGCCGCCGTCGTGAGGGAAAGACCGACTACTATGCTCGCAAGCGCCTCATCACCCAGGCCAAGAACAAGTACAATGCTCCCAAGTACCGCATGGTCGTTCGCTTCACCAACCGCGACATCGTCACCCAGATCGTCTACTCTGAGATCTCCGGCGACAAGGTCTTCGCCTCCGCCTACTCCCACGAGCTGAAGCGCTACGGTATCAACCAGGGTCTGACCAACTGGTCCGCTGCCTACGCTACCGGTCTTCTGCTGGCCCGCCGCACCCTTGCCAAGCTCGGTCTCTCTGAGCAGTTCAAGGGTGTCGAGGAGGCCGATGGTGAGTTCACTCTCACCGAGGCCGTCGAGACCGACGATGGCGAGCGCCGTCCCTTCAAGGCCTTCCTTGATGTTGGTCTTGTCCGCACCTCCAGCGGTAACCGTGTCTTCGGTGCCATGAAGGGTGCCTCCGACGGTGGTATCCTCATCCCCCACTCCGACCGCCGTTTCCCCGGTTACGACATCGAGTCCGAGGAGCTCGACGCCGACACTCTCCGCAACTACATCTTCGGTGGCCACGTCACTGAGTACATGGAGACCCTCGCCGATGAGGATGAGGAGCGCTTCAAGTCCCAGTTCATCAAGTATGTCGAGGAGGAGGTTGATGCCGGTGACCTTGAGGAGATCTACCAGGATGCCCACAAGGAGATCCGTGAGGACCCCTTCAAGAAGGATGAGGATGAGTCCTCCAAGAAGACCAAGGAGCAGTGGAAGGCCGAGTCCAAGAAGTACAAGGTCGAGAAGCTCACCCACGCCCAGCGCAAGGCTCGCGTCCAGGAGAAGATCCGCGAGCTCGCTGCTTAAGCGTCTTGTCTCGGTTAAAAATCCTGATGAGTCCTTCGGTCCGCTGTTTAAGCTCAAAAGTTTCCTACAAAAATTTAATGAGGGAATTGGCTTTGCCAGTCGGCGTTTCTTTTTTCTGATGATGTAGATTGATGGATCATGCCACATACCACTTTGTTACGTTAGGGGTGTTTTCTTTTTTTTCAATGGGGCTATTAGTTCGGTGTTTACAAGGCAATTTCTTTTTTTCTCTTTTCACAGTTCTAATCGCTCCCAATGTCCAAGCAATCTCTTCGTTCCCTCACATATTTGTGTGTCTGCTGTGCATCGTAGCCGGGAATCTAGATCGTAAATGCAACAATCACATATTAAGTTTTGGTATGCGGGCCTTGTGGAAATAAAATGGATGTCTTCGGTTGAATGCTGTTCAGGGTCCGAAAGACTCGACTCGACTCGATCATTCACAAAGCCCCGTGCCGATGCACGTGATCGACTGCTCTTGGATACAGCACATCAATCGATCACAAGTTTCTCTCACTCCTGACTTGAAGACCATCTTGAATGAATAATGAAAATATACCTCATCCGCCATGCGGAAACGGTACACAATGTGACACGAGCTTGGTAAGATCCGAAACACCGTGCAAACAGTTCTACATCGCATATCCTAACAATACTCAAAGGGCGGGCACAACTGATTCAAACCTCACGAATCATGGCACACTGCAGATAGAATGTCTGGCACACAGCTTTGATTCGAGTATGATCCGCTTCCAGTCTATATTTGCCTCGGACCTTACTCGAGCCCGGCTTACAGCAGAGGGAATCTGTCGCCACCAACCATCCGGGGAAGATAGTGCCCTTTTAACGCCTACCTTGACAGCAGATCTAAGAGAACGAGATTTTGGTTCTTTGGAGGGCACACGCTGGCGCAAGAACTTCCCATCAACCGAATCTAATACCAATCCTCCATCTGATGCTGCCCCCTCGGGACATGTTGAGATCGAGTCCTCAGCGTCAATGAAGCGACGGGCCACTTCATTCTTAAACTGCCATGTTTTACCTTTGCTCTTTGATGACACACGCACAAGGGACACCATAGCTATCGTCTCTCATGGCGTTCTTCTTCGCGTACTGTGGGCTTGTCTTGTGGAACTGTTCGATTCGATGAGTATCTCCATCGAGCCCGGCATCTACGCAAGACATGAGGGTCCAGCATCACAGTTGGTACCATCTTGGTCAAATACTGGATATATGAGTCTGTCTATACACTCGCATCCATTGCCTCCCCCATTACCACCGCGCTCGGGGTCTCCTTCGCAAATTTCAAGCAATACGAGCCAGGAGCAATCGAATACAAGCACGCCTGTCCAATCGAAAACTGTCTCAGATGCCTTATTACACGGATGGTCCATGAAAATCTTGGCTGTTAATAATAAAGACCACCTATCAGGCCTACGTCGCGCCGGCGGAGGGATAGGAAGTACATCGCATGATACCCGGCAGAAGAGGATAGATCATTTCTTCGGATGACATATTTCCTCTTCTAGATATCCTATATACACTGGCATATTGATTTAATCTATCCTGTTTATTCGTTATAGAAAACCTCGTCCAATACCTTCCACCATCCAGGTCCATCGGCACTGCCCACGGCACCTGGAATGGGACTCTCCTGTAACTCGGAGATCTACGTTAGCTTGTGCAAACTGCAATGCCAGATAGAGTAGACCCAATGTACTCACCTGCATTCCATCGGTCATAGCCCACCATTCTCTCACTTTGGGATTCGCCCGCATCTTCTCCATATCGCCCTCGAAGTCCGTGCCGACGTATTTGAAAGTAGCGAACAGGGTACGGTCGTTGTCGAAGAATATGGAGTCTTGATAATGCGAAGAATTCGTCAGTAAACTTGAGCCGGGAGAATTCCGCGCAAAGAGTGATAGGGTGAAGCCGTACAATCTTTAATATTGCAGTCCTTGATTTGTTGTAGCACTTCCGGCCAGACATTGGCGTGGCATTCCTTGTATGCAGCGACAGCAGAGGGCTTGAGGTGGACGATTTGAGCGATTCGGCGGACTGGAGCCATTTTTAGGACTTGGTTTGTATTGGGGGAGATTGAAATTGGGAAACAAAAGGGCCGAGAGGAGATGGGAAGCGAGAGACTTGATGGATAATCGTTGCAATGTTCGACAATGAGAAGACAATTGAACTAGGATGTCAAGTTCAAAGTGAGAAATTGGAGAGAAACCTGGGAACAAAATAAAAACTCGTCAGTGAAAGACCCTAGTTTCCCCACGTATCCGGGGCTGCTGCCCCTCGTTTTCGCCAGAGCGTTACCCCGTCTCTCGGGGGTGCTAACCCGAAGTCCCCCACTATCGGGATGCCGGGTTTGGCTGAACGTCAAATTTTAGCACTGAAAGTGTTGTAGGTCCAGGAATATAGGCTAAATGGCAAGTATAAAAGTTGCATGACTTGATTAATATCTAAAATTTATCGTAATACGTATATTTGATCTTCACGATTCAAATAGGGGGTTCTTGGGCACAGGACGAATCCAACTGACTGCCAAGTTTGCGGCCAGAGAAATCACACCGATGATCCACATAGAGCGCCCATAGTCAGAGCCGTTATATCTGAAAATTATAGCAAATATGATACCTCCAAGGTTTCCGAACCCACCGACTATGCCAGAAACGACACCATTAGCGTAAGGATGCACATGCGGGACAACAGCAAAGTTAGCCCCATTGCAAGCCTCGAGGAAGAATGCCAATCCCGCGATGAGGCCAAACATTTGTGATTGACTCATTGGGTTGGAGAATCCAATGGCCAACTGGAAAGCACCCATGCCGAGACCGAGGAAGGAAAGCAGAAGCTTCTTGGCCCAGATATTTCCAGTGTAGCGATATATCAAATCGCCGAAGAATCCACCTGCAGGGCGAAATACCACATTGAGCAAGCCGAACATAGCAGCCCACTGACCTGACTCTGTTTGACCCATGGTGGGGAAGTTTTTGGAGTAGTAGGTTCCAAGAATGGAGTTAATGGCCAATTCGGACCCAAATGAACAAGCATAAGGAATTGCCACGGCCATTGTGGACAGACTGAAGGCTACACGGAATGCGTCTTTCCGCGAAAGGGTGACAACGGTGTCGTTTTTGAGAAGCTGGATTTGTCCCATTCCCGAGGCGTCCCGGTCGCTTATCCGGGGTGATTGTGTCCCTTTCTTTTCCACATCGATGGTGCTATCGTATACCGATGGAGGACCAGACGGATTTGCGGAAGGAAGCATGGAATTGATGTTGACGATGTTGCCATCTGAAGGGGAGCCGGGAGAGACTGGAGAAGACATCTCTTTTGCCCACAGGTGTCGCTCTGACCACTTTCCAGTAGGTGTATCCTCGCAAAGGAAAAGCATTCCCAGTGCCACTGCGGTGATAATGATAAAAGGGACAATGTAGGACACCCGCCACGCCTGATGGGGAGTCAAGCCGCGGTCGTTGACAAAGGAATCGTAAATAGCCGGCATGAGGAAGCTGGAGAGCCATAAAGTTAGCAAAAAAATGGCGATTCGAAGAATGAAGAAAGACTCACTATGTGATTCCTCCACCAGCATTGCCCCAACCTCCAGCCAGTGAGTTGGCCGTACCCACAATCTTCTTATCGAAGAATCCTGTGCACCAAACCTGACAAGGAACAAAAGTGCCCCCCAAAATTCCGACAAAAAATCGCAATGCGATCAACCCCTTAGGTGTAGTAACCAGGCCAGCCATCGCGGTAGGAATCGCTCCGCAGAGCAACAATCCTACAAAAACCAATCGAGGGCCAAACCGATCGCAAAGTGGGCCAGCAATCAAGCGGACAATCAATGTCGCGAGAAGAGCGACAATATTAGAGTTCGCAATATCCTCTTGGGTCATATGGAGGTCCTTTTTAATGGTGACGGACAGCTGAATAGAGCATTAGTAACTGCAATATTTGTGACCGACGAGGAGTCATCATTGACTTACCAATGGTGGAAATGCATACCACGAGAGAAATGCTACCATGAAGCCCATCCATGAAAAGAAGAAAACTCGACCATACTGATCGAATGGGTTGAGGACCGGAATGGACTTTGCTTTGCGAGTGCCGGGATGGATTTCTGGGGAGACAAACAGAAGTTTGCCGAAGTTTGCAGCCATTGCCGTTGATAAACGACGTTGAATGACTGTAGATGTAAAGAGACTCGGAGTTGAAAATGTGTCTCACTCTTTCGATAACTAGGTATATATGATCAATTCGAAGAATATGTCCTTGAAGTTCCTCGTGAGATGATGGAGTGTTAAGCTAGACTTGAACCAAGGGATAAAGGCAAATTCCATCATCTATATAGACATTCTCAACGCCAATGCTTGACTGATTTCCTATATCAGGAGCTACATTTATGACACATGTATCTAGGCTCTCGAGCATGTACCGATCAACAAGAAACCCCGGGAAATATCGTAGGGTTACGAGAAAAAGAAAAAAGCACCACTGCACGCGTATCCAAGCAACGTGATTCGATCAAAGATTCAGCTCCCTGTCTCTGACAGCATAGCGTTAACGCCAGGCCCTGAAGACTCCATACTTTTGCCATCGCCCATGGGTCGATCCGGAAAGGCGATAAGGGATGCACGGCCACCTTGGACCCCGTGGGCCCCTTGATGGGCCTATGCGAAGGGGCTCAAATGTCATGTACTATGTGCTGAAGAGCGATAAGCACAAAATCGAACATCTCCGCGGAATGATTTGGCATAAAATCTCTAAGGGTCCATTCAAGTGCCGTAGATTATCTGGGGTTGTGTTCCACTTTCTCAGGGCTGTGTGCGCATCTTGTGGTAGTAGGCATCCGACGTTGATAAACCCGCCGCATCTCATTGGACGTAGCGCAGCCCAAAGATAGATAGCGGTTTACACTTTTCTCACTCTAGAAAATCGTGGGTCTTGTTATGGGTCTTTCTGATCGATCTACGCTCCGCGGAAATACTTAAAGCATCATCATCTCGCTCAATTCGTGTGATTCTGCTCGGTTTGACTGGAACCCGGCCCGATGTCGTGATATGGCTTTGATTCCCGCCGGCGGCGGCATTGTGAATAATCATGGCTTATTTTCCTCATATAAGCTCAGGAGCACTATGGTCCGGCCTAGTCCCGAATTTCTATCTAGAAATTGAGTGGCTTGGTGAATCCTTGGTCATTCATGTGGTGATTCTAGACGTTGAAGCAGCCCGTGGCCTATTATCATGATATCATTACGGGTCAGATCTATTCATGCTTTCAAGTTCTGACTCGGAGTAATGCACCACGAATAGTCTAGGGTTGAGATATATTGATGGAATTTAATAGGATTTGTTTGCACTGCCACTGTCTTCGATGAAACACTACGCCGCCGATATTTTCAACGCACAAATAGATACTATTTTTGATTTCGGTCATGACAAGGGCTTGGATCTCTATTGCGACCATGTCTTGTTAGTATTGGTTACTAATTTATTTTTATCATCATGATGTTTCTCAGTTGATCTTTTCTTTTTAACCGAAAATAATGTTCTAGATGCCATGGGCAAATAGCGGAATGTTTACTGGTTTGTCAAAAACCTTATATGCAAATTATTTAGATTATCGAGAAATTCGATACATGAAGCTTCATAAAATCAAGACCCCCAGACTTCAACTCCTTCGATATCACCAAAAACGCCCATCTAATTGTGTCAACATTACCAATCGATCCCATTTGCAGGCTGGGCCGCAGAGTGATTTAATGCATCGCCATTAGCCACCTTCTTGCCTTTCATACCCTTGTATCTCTTATCCATTCTTTGGAAGGGATCAACGGATTCCTCTTTCTTCACTTTCCATTTTTCCGTTCCGAGAATAGCATCCAGTTCCTCAACAGGTGGCAACTTAATGTAAATCCAGCCATCATCTCGCTCCTCAACGGGGAACGTGGCAATATTCATGCTCTCGTCATTTGTGCATCGTCCAGCTTGGTCTCCATTGAGCTCGAAGTTGCGCTTGTGATAGGGACATGAAACCCAGTATTTTCCTGCATCATCATCGCCGATCAAACCATCTGACAGGACAAACGCACGCTTGTGCGGGCACATTTGCTGAGTAGCGTAGAGCTTTCCTTTGATTTTGAAAACTGCTAGTTGTGTGTCACCACGTTTGACGTTGGCGGAGGAGACTTGTGGCGGCTCGTCAGAGAAATGGTCTGCTCGGACGACAGGCTGCCAGGAGAGGCTGGACCATTGGTGGCCCTTGAAATCTTCTTGTGCGGATTCCTTGGCCCAGTAGGTGGGACGTTGCTGCGCACGTTCTTGTATGACTTCCACCGTATCAACATTCTCCTCCGTGTTGGCAAATTGTTGAAAAACCTTGCGACGCTTGGGGTTCTTGATTGTTTCTGTCCATTCACAGAAGTAGCTATCGACAAGCTCCTGCATCTGCCTCTCCATATCGGCACAGATTCCTAACTTGTCTTCGAGAATGACTTCTTTCAGGTAATTAAGTCCGCCGGGGAGATTCTCAATCCATCGAGCTGTTCGTTGAAGCTTGTCTGCGGTTCGGATATAGAAGATAACGTATCGATCGATGATGGGTATTACCATTTCTGGCGGGACGTCTGTCACTAGAAGCTCCGAGTGTCGCGGTTTCGCACCCCCGTTGCCTCCAACGAAAATATTGAAGCCCTTTTCTGTGGCGATAAGACCAAAGCTGGAAGCACATCAGCTAGATTCTTTTGGTGAAAGAATTTCAATATACTCACTCTTTATTTTGTGCCTCCGCACACTCTCGTACGCAACCGGAAACTCCACCTTTGAATTTATGTGGTGCTCGGATACTCTTGTATCGCTCTTCAAGGCGAATAGCCATACCGACGCTGTCACCGATACCAAATCGGCACCACGTAGAGCCCACACAGCTCTATCTCATCGGGTCAGAGTTGTACAGTCAGTATAAGTAAGTGTGCGTAACATACCTTGATTGCGCGCAGAGCCTTGGCATATGCATGTCCACTTTCCATGCCTGCATCCACGAGCTCCGTCCAAATATTCAAAA